GGCCGTGCAGACCACTAGTGAGGGCCGTGCAGACCACTAGTGAGGGCCCTGCAGACCACTAGTTAGAGCCGTGCAGACCACTAGGGAGGGCCGTGCAGACAACTAGTTAGAGCCGTGCAGACCGGACCTCACCAGGGGGGCCGGCAAGGGCCATACAGACCACTAGTGAGGGCCCTGCAGACCACTAGGGAGGGCCCTGCAGACCACTAGGGAGGGCCCTGCAGACCACTAGGGAGGGCCCGGCAGACCACTAGTGAGGGCCCTGCAGACCACTAGGGAGGGCCCTGCAGACCACTAGGGAGGGCCCTGCAGACCACTAGTGAGGGCCCTGCAGACCACTAGTGAGGGCCCTGCAGACCACTAGTGAGGGCCCTGCAGACCACTAGGGAGGGCCCTGCAGACCACTAGGCAGGGCCCTGCAGACCACTAGTGAGGGCCCTGCAGACCACTAGGGAGGGCCCTGCAGACCACTAGGGAGGGCCCTGCAGACCACTAGTGAGGGCCCTGCAGACCACTAGTGAGGGCCCTGCAGACCACTAGTGAGGGCCCTGCAGACCACTAGGGAGGGCCCTGCAGACCACTAGTGAGGGCCCTGCAGACCACTAGGGAGGGCCCTGCAGACCACTAGGCAGGGCCCTGCAGACCACTAGGCAGGGCTGTGCAGACCACTAGTGAGGGCTGTGCAGACCGGACCTCACCAGGGGGGCCGGCAAGGGCCATACAGACCACTAGTGAGGGCCGTGCAGACCACTAGTGAGGGCTGTGCAGACCACTAGTGAGGGCTGTGCAGACCGGACCTCACCAGGGGGGCCGGCAAGGGCCATACAGACCACTAGTGAGGGCCGTGCAGACCACTAGGCAGGGCCCTGCAGACCACTAGTGAGGGCTGTGCAGACCGGACCTCACCAGGGGGGCCGGCAAGGGCCATACAGACCACTAGTGAGGGCCGTGCAGACCACTAGTTAGAGCCGTGCAGACCACTAGTGAGGGCCGTGCAGACCACTAGTTAGAGCCGTGCAGACCACTAGTGAGGGCCGTGCAGACCACTAGTTAGAGCCGTGCAGACCACTAGTGAGGGCCGTGCAGACCACTAGTTAGAGCCGTGCAGACCACTAGTGAGGGCCGTGCAGACCACTAGTGAGGGCCGTGCAGACCACTAGTGAGGGCCGTGCAGACCACTAGTGAGGGCCGTGCAGACCACTAGGGAGGGCCCTGCAGACCACTAGTTAGAGCCGTGCAGACCACTAGTGAGGGCCGTGCAGACCACTAGGGAGGGCCCTGCAGACCACTAGTGAGGGCGCCGTGCAGACCGGACCTCACCAGGGGGGCCGGCAAGGGCCATACAGACCACTAGTGAGGGCCGTGCAGACAACTAGTGAGGGCCATACAGACCACTAGTGAGGGCCCTGCAGACCACTAGGGAGGGCCCTGCAGACCACTAGTGAGGGCCCTCCAGACCACTAGGGAGGGCCATACAGACAACTAGTGAGGGCCCTGCAGACCACTAGGGAGGGCCCTGCAGACCACTAGTGAGGGCCCTGCAGACCACTAGGGAGGGCCCTGCAGACCACTAGGGAGGGCCATACAGACCACTAGTGAGGGCCCTGCAGACCACTAGGGAGGGCTGTGCAGACCGGACCTCACCAGGGGGGCCGGCAAGGGCCATACAGACCACTAGTGAGGGCCGTGCAGACCACTAGTTAGAGCCGTGCAGACCACTAGTGAGGGCCATACAGACCACTAGTGAGGGCCATACAGACCACTAGTGAGGGCCGTGCAGACCACTAGTGAGGGCGCGGTGCAGACCACTAGTGAGGGCCATACAGACCACTAGTGAGGGCCGTGCAGACCACTAGTGAGGGCGCGGTGCAGACCACTAGTGAGGGCCATACAGACCACTAGTGAGGGCCCTGCAGACCACTAGTGAGGGCTGTGCAGACCACTAGTGAGGGCCCTGCAGACCACTAGGGAGGGCCCTGCAGACCACTAGGGAGGGCCGTGCAGACAACTAGTTAGAGCCGTGCAGACCGGACCTCACCAGGGGGGCCGGCAAGGGCCATACAGACCACTAGTGAGGGCTGTGCAGACAACTAGTGAGGGCCCTGCAGACCACTAGGGAGGGCCCTGCAGACCACTAGTGAGGGCCCTGCAGACCACTAGGGAGGGCCCTGCAGACCACTAGTGAGGGCCCTGCAGACCACTAGGGAGGGCCCTGCAGACCACTAGGGAGGGCCCTGCAGACCACTAGGGAGGGCCCTGCAGACCACTAGGGAGGGCCCTGCAGACCACTAGTGAGGGCTGTGCAGACCACTAGGGAGGGCCCTGCAGACCACTAGGGAGGGCCCTGCAGACCACTAGGGAGGGCCCTGCAGACCACTAGTGAGGGCTGTGCAGACCGGACCTCACCAGGGGGGCCGGCAAGGGCCATACAGACCACTAGGGAGGGCCCTGCAGACCACTAGGGAGAGCCCTGCAGACCACTAGTGAGGGCTGTGCAGACCGGACCTCACCAGGGGGGCCGGCAAGGGCCATACAGACCACTAGGGAGGGCCATACAGACCACTAGGGAGGGCCCTGCAGACCACTAGTGAGGGCTGTGCAGACCGGACCTCACCAGGGGGGCCGGCAAGGGCCATACAGACCACTAGGGAGGGCCCTGCAGACCACTAGGGAGGGCCCTGCAGACCACTAGGGAGAGCCCTGCAGACCGGACCTCACCAGATGTCATCATGCTGGACTCAGAGGAGGCACAAACTGGACACAAAGCTTCAGTGGAATAAAACCAGGACTACGGTCTACATCATGCTGACAAAAACAGCTCAGGCCATATTCAATCTTTAGATTTAAGAATAAAAAAATAATTCATGTGATAAAGACTGGAGATGATTCTGTTTGTAAGAATATATACACATCCATTATTTTCAATTCAAACTGAAACATCAGGACACATCCAGCTCAGAGTCGACAAAATGGACCAAAACGTACATTCAGTTCATGCTGAGGAAGGGGGGGCTGGGGGGGTGCAGGAGGGGGACAAACGGTGTCCAGTTCCACTCCCGGGGGCCGTGCAGGCGTCCTGAAGGGGGCGCTGTGCTTGGGTTCTGGTTGCATTGATCTTTTTTTGTAACAGTCGATGCCATTGGTTCTCAGGCTTGGTGGACTTGAACCAGCAACTGAATCCGAACAGGCGGTAGGGCAGCTTGTCTGGCCAAACGTTCTTGTTGTTGTCATGGCAACAAAGTTCAGGTACGAAGCTCTGAGACCGAGATTTAAACTTTCCCCAAATCAGCAGGAGAGAGTTTCAGTGCTTTAACGTTAGATGAGGAGGCGCCAGAGGAGGCCATCAAGGTGCATCACGTCCAGCTTTCATCCACAGCTACAGACCAATGCACTTGTTTCCTATGGAATTAGCGTACGAACCAGTTTTATCAACTAAACCGCTAATTTAAAGCGTAATTTCCTTTCAGGATGTTTTTTCAGTGCGTTTTCCACCTAAATAAAACGTTTATATATATATAATCCAGTCCATGCACATCCTTCGCTTTAAACTTCCTTTCTGTTTTCCCTTCTGCTAAACAAACGTCAATAAAGGACAAAGTTGTTTCCTCTGCACTGGGAAAGGATTTGTTGTTTGAGCGAAATGGAAAAGCAGCCGAGGATGAAGACGGCTGCTAACCTTCCTCTCCTGGGAATAACGAGAAGGATTGCATCGTTTTTGGGGAGCTGTTTACTGGAAGGCCCGTCCCTAATTTCAATGTTAAAAACGGAGCCTGGAAAGTATGGATTACTGTAACGGAAACTGAACTCAGAAACACTTTCTAAAACTGCTGGAGAAGAATTAGCACCAACGGTTTCTCTGTTCAGATGTTTCCTTTTTCTTTCCCAGTTTGTGGAGATCAGCTCTACCTGCTGATGATGTGGCTGAACGTTCCTCTAATCTCCGCCTTTATTGGCCTTTATTGGTCCAATCTGAGCAAAGAGGTTCAAACTTTGAAACTTTCGGATTTAAAGTGATGAGCCATGAACTGTTTGACCTTTTCTGCAGATTTCAGCTTCAACGTGACGGCGAGGGAGGGGCAGGGGGTCGTAGGTGCTTTTCCAGGAGTTATGAGGTAAAACGACTCGGACTCGGTTGTTTGCAGTGGCTTTAATGGAACAATCAGTCCGCTCATCCCTGAGCTGCTGCCTTCCTACAGTGTGCTGCTGAGGATCTCTGAGACCTGAGCGTTCGTTTGGTCATCCGAGTCCACTTCCTGGGCGATGGCTCCCTCTGGCTCCTCCCCCTCCTCTCCAGACTCTGGCGTGGCCACCACCACCGACACTCCTGCAGCCGTCACAGTCTCCTCCTGCTGGCTTGGTGATGCGTCCCTGCAGGGCTCCACGAAGATCCTGCGAACATGCGGCCGCAGCTCCCGGTGCCGGGCCTTACGGCTCTCCAGGACGCAGGAGGCGTGGCTGACGAAGGTGTGGCCCTGTGCCGGGGGCGGGTCCCCCAGTGGCGTTAGGTCAGCATCCAGCTGCTTGGTGTAAACGCCCTCAGAAAGAGACCCCGTCAGACTCTCCTCGGAGTTGCCCTGGAGCCAGCGCTGGGGCCCGCTGAAGTATTGCCCCCGGTGGCTCCTGGAGAGCAGCTTGCGTTTGGCGGGGGGATTGGCGAGGGCCCTCATTGGGAGCGGGCCCTCTTTAGTCAGAGAGAGGCCCTCCAAAGTCTTGGTGGTGTCAGAAAGAACTGGGCAAAGGGGGAAGGACAGGGGGAGATCTTTGTAGAACCTGGGAGACAGCGGGAGGGAGGGAGATGTGGGCAGGGTCCTGGAGCGAGGCGGGGGCTGAGGCGAGGTGGGGAGGGGGAGATCTGTGGACGGGGAAGAGGAGGAGGGTAGGACAGGATCCCTCCCGGGAGCGAAGGTGGGGAGGTCTGTCTGTGGGCAAACACTGTACCTGAGGAGGGAGGGGGGGTCCGGTTAAAGAATGTTTTAGGCAATAAAGAAAGATGGCTGCAGGGCCTTCCTAAAGCGTTACCTGGGCTCGTGGATCTGCAGGACATCGGGGGCGCTGCCCCCCAGAGAGTGAAGGAGCTGCTGAGACAGATCCGCGGCCGGAGAGTAGAGCAGGTCCATGTCTCTGGGGCTCAGGGCGTCGCTGGAGTCATAGTCACTGTCGGTGGGCAGGAACACTTCAGAGGAGCCGTCCTCATCGGAGCCGAGCAGAGACTCTGTCAGACGGAGGTCAGGGTCAAGCTCTGATGAGGCTTTCAGTTTCGCCCTAAGGTGAACCCCTTCATACGCACCACTGATGGCCTTTCTCTGCCGGAGCTCCGGCGATGGAGGCGGCGTAGGCACGTAGTCCATGGTGGAGGACGTGGAATCCGTCTTCTGCTGTCCAGAATCACTATCTGGAGCGCTGGCGTCCACCAGGCAGGTTATGAGGACGCCGCCGCGGGGATGCTTGTAGCGAGCGTACTGCAGGGCGTCTGTGATCCAGCGGAGGTCGCGCCGCATCTCATCCAGCTGCTGCAGAAGCAAAAAAAATAAGAATTATCTACCTGAAACTCCACATCGAGAGGAGTCAGTTGAGGTGGCTCGGACATCTTCTTCGGATGCCCCCTGGACGCCTCCCTCGGGAGGTGTTCCAGGCACGTCCCACTGGGAGGAGGCCCAGGGGACGACCCAGGACACGCTGGAGAGACTATGTCTCTCGGCTGGCCTGGGAGCGCCTTGGGCTTCCCCCAGCAGAGCTGGAGGAGGTGTCTGCGGAGAGGGAAGTCTGGGAGTCTCTGCTTAGTCTGCTGCCCCCGCGACCCGGTTCCGGATAAAGCGGGAGACGACGAGTACCTGAAACTATATTTAAAGGTGTAGTGGAGGATCTTCTTCTTCCAGGTGGATCATCTCAATCAGTGGTCCTCCTAACTGTCAATCATAAGGCCGTCCTACGTGCTCGTCCCCATTTTCACTTGTCAGTCTGACATAGTGGAAACAATTACAAATCTTCTTTTGTAAAATAATGCTACGTTCAGACCGCAGGCAGCAGAAGCAGCTGGTTTCCATGCAAAGTCAATGGTTGATGCACATCTAGGTGCAGCAGAGGTCCTGCAGCGTCTAGAGCAGCAGCAGCAGCGCCTCATGAGCATCTGAGGAGCTTCAGAAGCAGCAGCTGCTGGAAACATTGACCTTTTTCTGCTGGACGCGCCTCATCCACCAATGAGAGAAGCTGATCTGGGAGCTGGCAGGGAGTCAGATGCAGCACTGCTGATGCAGAGCGCTATGATCACTCCTCTGAAACAGTTTATTAACGCCTAAATTAACTTCAAATGTAGAAACCTGCCAGCAGAATATGTTGGCTTTTATTATCCTGCTGCCTGCAGTTTGTAGCACAGACCTGAAAAACGCTAACATCTACTTCCAGCCGCCACCAACAGGAGGGGAAAACCCTGGAGAGGCGAGCGGGCCTGAGGCAGCTGCTGCTGGGGATTCCCAGTGACAGCGCAGCGCCGGTATGTGGGGGTCTGAGCGGCTCCCACAGAGAAATAATCTTTGAAGGCAGGACGGTAATCTGGATGAACTGACTGCACAGACCATGTTTTCAGGAGGACTTTCTCACTTCAACATAGATTCTAACTACTTTCTACCCGCTGATCACAGCTAATATAGCTGCCATTGTTCCAGGCAGAGAAAGGATAGGGTAGCTCCGCCCACCGCGCATCAGACCCACTTTACCACCGCGCAGCTAGAGCAGCAAAGCTGCGTGTCAGAATTAAACTTGTAGAAGCGTCAAAAATGAAGCAGCACGCGCATTTTAGCTACTTCTGCTGCGTGCCGTCTGAAGGTAGCATGAGTTTTTGCGATGCAAACGGCAATGTTTAAAGCAGGAATGGGCTTATGCACGCTCTAGCATGCGTTTTATAGGCGTTCCCTCTCTGGAGCGGGTACAGGGCTGTACTTTTTTTTAAAGTAAAGAGGGCGGGTCTTTTCAAAAATTCATGAAAACCCTCCACTACACTGCAAAAATGATCTCAAAATGAGTAAAAATGTCTTAAATTAAGGGTTTTTACCCCTAATTTGAGCAGGTAGATAAGATTATTTGCCAATGAAATGAGTATTTTTACTCTTAAAATAAGGTATCTAGATATCATGCACTTGAAAAAAGAAAATGAAATTGTTTTTTTCTTATTTTAAGTGCAAATTGTCTTGTTCCATTGGCAAAGTGTCTCACTTAAATCCTTAATTCAAGAAAAAATGCACTTATTTAAAGAAAAAATTACTAATTTAGATTTCTTTTTTTTGCAGTGTATACCTTTAAGGGCGTTGTGGTTAGGGCATTGCACTCGGAATCCAGAGGTTCTGAGTTCGAGCCCCACTCCCACAGACTGCCCCTCTGGGTCCCTGAGTAAGACCCTTAACCCCACACTGCTCCCTGTCCGTCCCACTATGGCAGCCCTCTGCTCCCCATGGGGAGGGGTTAAATGCAGAGAGGGGATTTTATTGCTCTGTTGTTGTGACAGTGCGCCGTCACCCGCTTCATTTTGCCCAGTTTGTTGGTGCTTTCTGAAACGCAGACAGATGGTGGCGCTGCTGAGTTTGCTGGTCAGAATCATTCCTCTACAAACACTCAGGATTGGAAATAACATTGACTTTAATGGATGAAAACAGGATAAATAAATACTTAGTTTCCTTGAAAATAACGTTTCACGCCTCCTGCTGTTCCTTCTGCAGACAAAATAGTGTCTAAATATCAAACCGTTCTGCTTGTAATCTGATTACTGCTGGCTTCACATCACAGAATGATTCCAAGCCTCCATCCTTCCTGATTTATCCAAACCTGTTGGAGCAGCTGGAGGTCGGTTTCCTCACCTGGATGTAGTCCAGGATGAGTTGGTGTCGAGATCTGGCGGTTGTCACCTCGCCGTCCGTGATGGCCTCCCGCAGTGCCTGCTGGGTAATGAGGGCATCCAGGTCCAGGACAGAGGACAGACGGCAGTAGAGACTGATGAACTTCTCCTTGTAGGTGCAGAAATGAACTGAAAGAAGAACAAACAAGTTTAATATGGACATTTTTCAAACCATTTCTGTTATTTAAAAGTAAATTTACAGAAGATATAAACATCAGTCTGGTTTTAGACATGAAATCAGCAGAATAAGGTGATTTGATGGAGTCCTCCAGTCCTAGACCTTAAATATGAAGATCTGAGCTGGAGAAGCAGCTGCTCATGGAGACTCTTTAATCTGGAACTAAATGCTGAAACTATTCACAAGAATAAAACTTCAACTGGAGTAAATTATCTGCAGATTAATCATTAGTTGAAGTTTAAATAGATTAATCATATTTATGAAAGGTTAGGAAACATTTTTGAAACGTTTGAAAGATTTTGTTGAAATTCACTAATGATGGATCAACTTGTATGTTAGGTCCAGTTCCAACCAGGCTATTTAAGGAGGTATTCCCTTTGATCTCCTCCTCCATTTTAGATGTGATTAATCTATCTCTGTTACAGTCTACAATCTATCTCTTGACCCAGATGACTTGGTCAATTATAGACCTATATCCAATCTTCCTTTCTTATCCAAAATTCTTGAGAAAGTAGTTGCCAAACAAGTTTGCGATCACTTCCACCATAATGAACTTTTTGAAGAGTTTCAGTCTGGCTTTAGAGCTCATCATAGCACTGAAACAGCTCTGGTGAAAGTCACTAATGATATTCTCATGGCCTCAGATAATGGACTTGTATCTGTGCTCGTCCTGTTGGATCTCAGTGCTGCATTTGATACAGTTGACCATAATATTCTTTTAGAAAGACTTGAATATTTTGTTGGAATTAAAGGAACAGCACTAGACTGGTTTAAATCTTATCTATCTGATCGAATTCAGTTTGTTCATGTTAATGATAGATCTTCAACACGCTCAAAGGTTACCTGTGGAGTACCACAGGGATCAGTGCTAGGACCAATTCTCTTTACTTTATACATGCTCCCAATTGGTAGAGTTATTAGACAGCATGGGATTAATTTCCACTGTTACGCTGATGATACCCAGCTATATCTGTCTATAATCCAGATGAAGCTAACCCATTACCAGAGGTGGAAAGTAACGAAATACATTTACTCAAGTTACTGTATTGATTAGGTTTTTTGTGTATTTTGTATTTTTCAAGTAGTTTTTAAAATCGGTAATTTAAATTTTACTTGATTACGTTTTGTATTTCGTTACATTACAAATCCGTTACTGAGTAAAAAAAAAACTTTGGAAAACCGAAAGGAAGACAAAAAATGGGGCCCGGAAGCACTGCAGCGAGTGACGTGATCAGCATGTAGATCGAGGCTACCAGGCGCCAAGTCTTTCTGTAGGAGATTGGGAACGAGATGGAGGTGGATCAGGAGAGCGACGACGGTTCAGAGAACGTTTCACTAGAAATGCTAGCTGAAACATCCAATTCTGCTGCGCAAAAACGTCGAAAATCCTCGGCCACATTTGAAAGACTGCTTTTCATTTAAATTCAAGAGAGCCGACAGTATCATCAGGCAATGCCAGATTCGTCTGCAAAGGTGATTCAATAACTCCACATCTAATCTGCGGAAGCATGTTTTGGTAAGTATTTAGTGCATCGGTACTTCAAACAAAGTTTTCATGACTAATAGCCAATTAGCAAAACAACCTGTTTCGTGGCATTGCTGATTTTGTCTCGCACAGGGGTCGGCAACCCGCGGCTCCGGAGCCGCATGCGGCTCTTTCATCTGGGGAAAATAAATTGCTAAAAAGAAAACTAAGTATTTCATTTAAGTCAGTGTTTCCTGCAGCACTATCTTGGCTGCAAGATAGTGCTTTTATGTCACTAAGTAACTTTTACCTAAAATACATTTTAAATTAGCTACTAATTACTTTTACTTGAGTATTTTTTCTCATGTGTAATTTTACTTGTACTTGAATAATATTTCATCCAAGTATTGGTACTTTTACTTCAGTATGATATTCTAGTACTTTTTCCAGCTCTGCCCATTACATAGATTACAGGCATGTCTGAAGACATAAAAACCTGGATGACTCTTAACTTTCTGCTCCTGAATGCAGATAAAACAGAAGTTATAGTCTTTGGACCAGAGTCTCTGAAAAAGAAGCTGATTAGTCAGTCACTTCATTTGGATGGGATTAAACTGATTTCAGATAATAAAGTAAAAAATCTTGGTGTTATTTTTGATCAGGATCTGTCATTTAAATCCCAGATCAAAGAGGTTTCTAGAATTTCCTTCTTTCATCTGAGGAACATTACAAAAATTAGAAATATCCTGTCCAGGGGTGATGCTGAGAAACTAGTCCATGCATTTGTTACTTCAAGGCTGGACTATTGTAATTCTTTACTATCAGGAAGTCCACAAACTGTAGTTAAAAGCCTTCAGCTGATCCAAAATGCTGCAGCCGGAGTTCTGATGAAAATGAAAAAGAGAGATCATATCTCGCCTATCCTGGCTTCTCTTCATTGGCTTCCTGTTAAATCAAGAATAGAATTTAAAATCCTCCTTCTCACATATAAAGCCTTAAATGGTCAAGCTCCATCTGATATCAGAGATCTGATTGTTCCTTATGTTCCTAACAGAGCACTTCGCTCTCAATCTGCAGGTTTACTAGTGGTTCCTAGAATTTCTAAAAGTAGAATGGGACGCAGATCTTTTAGTTCTCAGGCTCCTCTCCTGTGGAACCAACTACCAGTTTTAGTCCGTGAGGCAGACACCCTGTCTACTTTTAAGGCTAGGCTTAAAACTTTCCCTCTTGATAAAGCTTCTAGTTAGAGCGGCTCAGGTTATCCTGAGCTACAGTATATCAATGAACTGTAATTTGTAAACTGATTTCTAGGAGCAATAAAGGCAGAAATTCTGATGGGTGGGTTAGCTGCAGCTTTTCAAACGGCACCGCTGACCCTCAGCGTGAACCGATTCTCCTGTCAGTTAGATCTGTTCTGTGCAGGATGGAGGTCCGAGACGCAGCCGGAGCCCATCCTGCAGACAGCTCCGTCCTTCAGCGAGGACGCAGCTCTCTGCGCTGCTGGATCCGCTCCACGGGTCAAGGACAGACAGAGCTGTGTTTGCAACAGGAGGCGCATTAAATCAGCCTGCAGGCTCCAGCAGGACGGCCTCTACAGACGCATGAAGATGGTAATAACAGCCCACGCGCTGCACAGTGAGCTCCCTCTGTACGCAGAGCTGCAGACGCACACAGACCGCCTCAGCCTCTAACTTCATCCATCTGTGCTTTAGCAGCTCTACCTGTTTAGTTCATGAGAAATTACTTATTTTTTCCAATGTATTTTGATTTTGTTGAAGATCAGCCTTAAAGCTTCTGATTGATCCTATTTATCATCCAATATTCCTGAACTTTGGGCAAACAGAGCCTGACTGAGCATCCCATATCCCAACTGGAGTACTTTCTTCTGATTAAATCACACTTTGAGCTTTGTGATTGGCTGCAAACCCTCCCCTGTTTAAAAAGATGCATTCGTGTATCGAGGCACGTCAGGGGAATCTCAAAAATCCACACAAATGATGTAAAGTTTAAAGACTTCTGGTACTTTGTAAATTAATGTATAATTTGCTGAGGTCATGGAGGGAGTTAAGATCTGGAGACCCACTGAAATCAAAGGAAAACAAGACAAAATGGCGTCGATTTCTTCCAGCTTAAAGCCTCTTCAGACGCTGATAAACCCTAATGTAGCTTTTCAATCCAGATTGTAGAGGAAGATTAACAAACAGTGAGTGGGAGATTTCCTGAACCTGAGTCTCATTCCTAGAGAAAGAGCAGGATGAACGCCTGTGGACATGGGAGCTGGCTCGGAGCTCGTCTGCCTGGCTGTGTGTTTCCTGGACGGGGCCGCCTGTGGAGCTGGTTGACAGTTGCCTTTTGTATCTATGCTTCTTTTTCTATGTCTGCTTCTGTCTCCTTGAACCCCAGTGGGCCTCAGCAGATGGCCGCTCACACTGAGCCTGGTTCTGCTGGAGGTTTCTTCCTGTTCAAAGGGAGTTTTTCCTCTCCACTGTCGCTACAAGCATGCTTAGTGTGAGGGATTGCTGAAGAGTCAATGAGTCGATGCAATCAGCTGGTTTTCCTTAGATAGAAAACTTTGAATCAATCTGACTGGATGATCTGGTGAACTGGAAAGTGACCTGAGATGACATGATGTGAATTGGAGCTATAGAAATACACTGAGTAGAATTGAATTGGTGTATTTGTGAAAATTAAGACCAATCTAACTCCATACTGCAAATGTTTCTATTATGGTCTGCAGACACTGATCTCTTTGGCCTTGATTGGAGCAGGTAGAGAAGAAGATCAGCCAATGGAGCAATAATCCACCTTAGACAGATACTAACGAATAATTCTCAAATGTACTCGTACTCGTCGTCTCCCGCTTTATCCGGAACCGGGTCGCGGGGGCAGCAGGCTAAGCAGAGACTCCCAGACTTCCCTCTCCGCAGACACCTCCTCCAGCTCTGTTGGGGGAAGCCCTAGGCGCTCCCAGGCCAGCCGAGAGACATAGTCTCTCCAGCGTGTCCTGGGTCGTCCCCTGGGCCTCCTCCCGGTGGGACATGCCTGGAACACCTCCCAGGGGGCATCCGAAGAAGATGTCCGAGCCACCTCAACTGACTCCTCTCGATGTGGAGGAGAACCGGCTCTACACTGAGCCTCTCCCGAATGACTGAGCTCCTCACCCTATCTCTAAGGGAGAGCCCAGCCACCCTGCGGAGGAAGCTCATTTCAGCCGCTTGTATCCGGGATCTCGTTCTTTCGGTCATGATCCAGATTTCATGACCACAGGTGAGGGTAGGAACGTAGACCGAATGGTAAATTGAGAGCTTTGCCTTTTCGCTCAGCTCTCTCTTCACCACGACAGACCGGTGCAGCGTCCGCATTATTGCAGCAGCCGCACCGATCCGTCTATCGATCTCCCGCTCCATTCTTCCCTCACTCGTGAACAGGACTCCAAGATACTTGAACTCCTCCACTTGAGGCAGGGACTCTCCTCCAACCTGAAGGGGACAAGCCACCTTTTTCCGGTCGAGAACCATGGCCTCGGATTTGGAGGAGCTGATTCTCATCCCGGCCGCTTCACACTCGGCTGCGAACCGCCCCAGCACACGCTGTAGGTCTTGGCAGGAGGGAGCCAGCAGAACTACGTCATCCGCAAAAAGCAGGGACGAGATCCGCTGTTCCCCAAACCAGACCCCCTCCGGTCCTTGGCTGCACCTAGAAATCCTGTCCATAAAAGTTATGAACAGGACCGGTGACAGAGGGCAGCCCTGTCGGAGTCCAACATGCACCGGGAACAGGTCCGACTTAATGCCGGCAATGCGAACCAGACTCCTGCTCCGCTTGTACAGAGAACGGATGGCCCCTAATAAAGGGCCCCCGACTCCATACTCCTGGAGCACCCCCCACAGGGCAGCACGAGGGACACGGTCGAATGCCTTCTCCAAGTCCACAAAACACATGTGGACTGGTTGGGCAAACTCCCATGAACCCTCAAGCACCCTACAGAGGGTGTAGAGCGTGTCCACCGTTCCACGGCCAGGACGAAAACCACACTGCTCCTCCTGCAGCCGAGGTTCGACAATCAGCCGGACTCTCCTCTCCAGCAGCAATTCTCAAATGTTAATCATCTTATTTCATTTGCAAATTGTGTTTTTAGTATTTTAGTGTTTGCAGTCTGAAGTAAATGCTGAAGGAAAAGGAGGAATCTTTCTCCTGTAGATGTTTTAGTTTTGTTGGAACGTCTTCTGGGCGGCAGAGGAGCAGAGGACGGTTACATCATGTCTGCTGTCTGTTTGACCCCTGGAGCAGCTTTCCTCCAAACATGTTCAGGTGCCTCTGGTCTCAGCAGTTTCTCCACCTGCAGCAGAGGAGGTGTAGTTACCCAGCTCAAACATCTGCAGCGGGAGGTGCAGGAACCCTGACAGCGGGCTGTAGGGGTTGGACTGTCCGGGGGCGGAGCAAACATCATCAGCCTGGGGCAGCAGCAGCAGGAAGGAGACGCCGTGGCCGATCTCCACCACCTCCTGACTGTAGAGACGGAAGTGACGGGCCTGCAGTTGGAAACACAGGGAGGGTCGGTCAAAGCGGGATGTGAAGGAAAGTCAAAACCTGAAGGAACATCGGAGGACGAGCAGATCCATCCGTCACTTCCAGCTCAGGACAAAAACAGATGTTGGAAAGTTTTCATGATATATTTCTGCAGGAGAGTTTTATTTGTTCTCTTTGAATCATCTAAAAGTTTTATTTTTTTTTATTGTAGCTATATTTAAAATGTTAACTTTACTAATTACATTAAAAGCATAAAGTCAAGTTATATTCCTCGATAAAATAAGACCAGAATTCAGCTGATCGTCATGAATTAGGGCATAATGGAGGATATTTGTGAATTTTTGAAAAGGCCCGCCTTCTCCATTTGAAAATGCACATGCACGGCCCTGTACCCGCTACCGAGAGGGAATGCCTATTAGAGCGTGCTCGGGTCCATTTCTCCTCGTGCACGCTCACGATCACTCATTCAAGCTTACTTCAAAAAAGATTTGTAATTTTTCCACTATGTCAGACTGACCACTAGGGGTGTATATAATAATCATCGTTTTGCTTCGATGCATCGATACGTCCGCAAGAGAATCGATTCATGTTTTTTTTCCTCCAGTCTATTTTTATCCATTTGCTCCTGGACGTAATTCTCCTCCCGTGCTGCGGTGGCGCTAAACCTATTTTGCCCTCCTACCTCGCTTCGTGGTTATACTCTTATAGCAGTGTGTTGCAGTGAGCTTGACGCAGACATTTTTAAATTATGCTCAATATTGAAGCGTGGTCTGAGCTACACGCTGTGGGTCTAGATACGGCCGAGGCAGCGAGGAAGTGGGGGCGAGTTTAGTCCAAAGACGGAGGGACATGAGGCCAAAAAGAGCGGAGATCCAGGTGGAAAAAGGGTCCCAGCGTTCTCGCGCACCTCGCTCTTCTAGCGGCTCAAACTTCACGAGTTGTTTTCCGCAATTTCGGTCATAAAAACAAAACAAGCCGGCCTCCTGTCTGCGGCGCTGTCTGCCGTCAGCTAAAATTTGGGAGAGGAGCAGTGGAGCGTCTGTGGAGGGGGGGGACGTCTGGAGTCGAGGTATTGCATTGCACTCATTGCACTGATTATGATTTTTTTATGCAACTTTTCTACTTCTGTTATTTGCTGTTGTTTCTAAAAAAAATGCATAACGATATTACAGCTTTCATTGATTTATTTCAAACTTGAAACTTTGTTTAGCCTGTAAGGTGTAAAAGAAATAATAATAATTAAAAAATATGTAACCGATTAATCGAATCGAATCGTGGTGTATTCTTGAGTATCGAAAATAATCGAATCGTTGGGTCAGGAAATCGATACTGAATCGAATCGCCATGATGGGTGTGATTTACACCCCTACTGACCACCGATAAGTTAAAATGGGGACGAGCACAAAGGACAGCCTTATTTAAACATATCACCAGAATGATTGACAGTCAGGAGGACCACTGATTTAGATGATCCACCCAGAAAAAGACAATATACCAGGAGTCACTGATTTCTGGACCCACCTGCTTGCTAATCCAGACCCAACCTGATTTAAAACATTTATAAATTACTGCATGTTGTCCGATAACACTGTCTAACTTCACTTGCGCCTCTTCTCCTGTTAATACGGTAAAGCCCTGGGGAGCGTCCGGCTCCAGGCTGCACGTGATCCAAATGAGCCAATGAGCTGTCAGTCTGGGTTGCTGCTGCTGCTACTTTTAGACACAGCAGGCAAACCTGTGGCAAGCCGGGCGATGGGAAAGAAGGAGAAGACCATGAGAAAAAGAGAGCAGAGAAAGTGTGGACTGCTGGAAGAACTGCGGTGAACTGGTGAAAGAAAAGTGAAATGGCGTGCTCAAAGATGACCCTGCACATTTAGAGGATGTTTGGCTCAACCTGCTGCTGTGAAGCAGGATTCTCCACCATGAACAGAATCAACAATAAATCTGGATCCAGGCTCAAAATGAGCTCCTTGATATGTGCTTGAGAATGGCTTAGTCTCCGGTTAAACCCAGGTTTAAAGCCTTGCAGGGCAGCCTAAAGCCCACTGCCAACATTAAGACAGAAAACAGAAAGAAAATTAACAGTTCAGGGGTTTGAGAAAATCAGGAAATTGTTAAATGCTGTTTAAAGTAACGGATTATAATAAAAAATGTCTCCGGACCTTTACTGGTTGATGATTTTCTTTATTCGGACCCCAATGATTTTTAATCGGTTACCCCTTCTCTATACTGTAATGTTTTATCCTTTTTGAGCCTAAATAGAGCCTCAGCCCCGGGCGCCACGAGTCGAATAATCAGATGTGGCGCCATCTACCTGCAAAACCACTGAACTACAAGAAGAAACCCCTAAATAAGTCGTTGTCGTGTTGTAACATTCCAGCTTGTTGACTAACTGTATGTATGGGCAGTGATGGAAATCAGGTCACATGATGCAGTTATTGGAAATATAAACACAAAGGTCATACTTACTAACAAAGTGGGCAAAAACAACAACGCTGTAACATTTCCAGCAGCCAGAGCGAGTCTCTGGCATAAACATTTAAAGAAAAGTCAAATAATGTGTAGCTTTAAACCGTTAATCTTTTTCATAAGGATTTTATGTTTATAATCCTTCAGTCAGGCTTTAATTTTATTTCTGTTTCTGTGGGTGTAATGCACAGATGTCACACCCAGGGGGCGCTCTGACCTTGTGCAGAGGGACGTGGATGTGCTTCAGCAGTGCCTTTATCGCCGTCTGCAGCTCGTAGTAGAGTAGAGGGGCGTGGCTTTCGGCCTGGGGCTCCGCCTCCTCGCTCTCCTCCTCGCTGCGTCCTTTTTCTCCTGCAGCTGCCAGCGTTTGGATCCAGTCCCACTCCTCCCTGATGGAGCGAGAGACGGATTATGGAGGCTTTCTGGCTGCCGGTGCATTGTGGGAAATGTTACCCTGAGCCTCTGCCTCGACTTTTTGTTATTTAAAATTATTTACCTTCACAATTTCATCATCTACATCATACAGTGTTACTATGGTAACCAGGTCAGCTCATTCTGTGTGTGTGTGTGAGAGGAACCTGGACACGTTGGCGTTGTCCCGGATCCGGCTGTGGCACAGCATGTTGGGGGTCCGCTGGGACACCAGGACTTTGATCTGGTCCACGGAGCTGCTGAGCTTTAGGTAGCCCAGGTAGAGGCCCGGGGCCAGGCGGTGGGTGCTGCGCCGCTGGTACGCCAGGAGGTCCTGCAGGGACAGCAGAAAAAAATCAGCTTCGGCTCCAGAGAGACGGACAGACGACTCCAATAAAATCATTTTCCAAATCAGGAACAAAGATCATCAGAGCCTCAATAATCAGAGATAAACCAATCCTAAACACGTACTTTTATCTACCTTCTTAGTTTCTTCTCTATCTTTAATTTCTCAAAAAATAATCATCTATAGAACATTTAGAGCAGGGGTGTCAAACTCATTTTCACTGAGGGCCACATCAGCGTAATTGCTGTCCTTAAAGGGCCAGATGTAACTTATAAATGTAACTAAATGTAATTGAATGTAATGTAAAATAAATGTAACGACTCCTTAATGTTAAATAACTCATTATTTATTATAACTTATTCAAGTGACAATTACAGTTGCATAGAAAACATATGCTTGCTTGTTACTCTAACACACACGTGTCACACAGCCGCTTCCTACCTAGTCCTCCTCATCGGTCTCTCCCCCTCCGCCCGAATCACTATCATCGATATTTTGAAGCATTTCTAAAACCTGTTTCACTGTTAGGTTCCTTCTGAACGCCACTTTTTCCATATTAGCCAAAAAGTTCTAGGTAGAATGTTGGTTGCTAGGCAACGGTACCAATCGTCAATCAACCGCGCGAAGAATTTACAATGCAACTAATAGAGCCGTCAAAATGGCGGTTGTGGGGGATCGAGGTAGAATTAACCATATTTATTTTTTACGTTTTAATTGTATAAAAAAAAAAAAGTGAAAATGAAGGAAATTTAGAATCAGGAAAATTGAGTTAACATGAGCAACATAAATTTAATATTAAATATAGTTCTTTCCCTTTAAAATCTCAGAACCATCAAAATGACGGCTGTGGGAGTTCTAGCGGGCCACATAAAATGACGTGGCGGGCCACATCTGGCCCGCGGGCCTTGAGTTTGACACGTGGGATTTAGAGCGTGCACAATAAAAGAAAAAAAAGAAAATATAAATAAGTGTTTTATCACAGATTAACAATATTGAAATATTTTCCTTCCTGTTCTCTTCTTTCCAACTTTTTTAATTAATTACAAACAATCCGTTCTCTTAAAGGTATAGAGGATTGTCTTTTATTTCCGGGTGGATCATCTCAATTAGTGGTCCTCCTAACTGTCAATCATTCTGGTGATATTTTTAAGGCCGTCCTACGCGCTCGTCCCGTTAGCTAGCTTCTTCACTTTCAGGCGAATATCTGTGGTAAGCTGCGGTTTCAGACGGTCATTGAAGCTCGCCTTTCTCACCGCACTTCTTTGAAAATGGCCGAGGGTTGGAAGAGAAAAAGTGTCTACGAAGCGTAAGAGAAGAAAAGAAAGGCCTCAGAAGAGGCAGATATATCAAGAATGCTTTGCATGGAGAGCTCACTTCGCAAAGCATTATGGGATTTGCTGTCACAGTGGCCCGCTGTTGCTACCCGACAGCTGTGGCTAATAACAAAGATGGTGCAGGAACAGTGCCAGTTTAGTTCCTCGCCTCCTAGTGGCGATCTACAGTAGTACTGCTCTCTAGAGGGAAACAAACCAACATGGCGGCGCCCGTAATATTCAGGAAGTTTTGTGGAGAGTCAGGCGAAGAAGGCAACCTTTGGTGAATTTACGTGACAGAGTCGGCTTTTGGGAAGTGGATACGGGAAATGGTAGCCTAATCAGGGTTTCCAGACGCAGGAAACACCGACAGACGTTGAAGTTCATCAGACTGCTGAGCAGAATCATCACTGGCAACCATGTGGCACTTAAGGGAATCTAGGATTTAATGAATGATTACAGAGGCTGACTGTAAGGAGGTGACGCGGTCTGCTCATGCGCTCTTTGTTATCTGAGAACCGAGCCAGAACTGAACGGCGCCGAGCCCTACTGATGAACTAGTACCATGTTAGCGCGGTTCGGTTATATCTGCCGCAGTCCGGTTCAGTTGTGCGTTCCATTTACACTCAACAGTTACCTGGGTTACCGCGCTCTGACCGATCCCTGCACGGTTTCTGAAGGGTAGTGGAAATGGGGCTTTAGCAACAAATTCTTCTGCGTCACCATGGTAGCATTTCAATTCCCTCAGTTCCTAATACTGAATGTTTATATATATATATATATATATATATATATATATATATATATATATATATATATATATATATATATATATATATATATATATATATATATATATATAAATTCGGATGTCAAGGAGTTAAGAAGTAGAGCAGGTTGAAGGGTGCCCACTGAAGGCATGGGTACCGGATGCATCACCCGCCATGTTGATTCTGCACCAGCAGAAGACGGAGCTCAGCTTTTTCAGATCCTAGTAGCTCAGTGATGAAAAATGTTCACTGTGTCTCTTTTCTGTGGTTTCAAACAAAAAAAAACAAAAAGTGAGGTCCACCTCAGCTCTGCTGTCTGAGCACATCTTCCTCACCTGCATGGTGATGATAAGGATGTCCAGCGCGTACGGCTCCTCCGGCGTGGACAGCGACTTCCTCTGGCTCTGCAGTTTGGTCACCTGCATCCACCTCCCGCTGAACAGCGAGTGCTGGCTCTCGGTGTCGCGGATCGTCACCAGGAGCACGTTTCCATGGCGATCTTTGATGGGCTCGTAGTGGACCCGGCCCAGGTTGTGGGTCCCCAGGAGGTTCTGTCAGAACAGACCAGTAAGGACTGGTTACAGATGGAGCCGTTCCTCGTTCCCAGCAGGGGTTCTATGATGCTGGTTTTGAGCTCCTCACCTGTAGCTGGGCGGCGGCGGTGAGCATCTTGTGGCGGGCCTGCAGAGTGGATGAAGACGACATGGACACGGACATGCTCTGCCTCAGCCATCGGACGTCCTCCCACATACAGGACAGCTACAGAACATGCAGGTAGATAAAGGCGGTTAATAAAAGCCACCAGCTGATCAGACGCATCAGATAACGGGTCAGCCTGAGCATCAGGTGGGTGAAGACATCAGCAAAGGAGCAACTATTGCTGCTGATCGAAGCAAGAAACGTTTTATCATGAAAACAGAAATATCCTACATATCAAATCAGCTAAACATCTGGAGCAAATCCAGGAAAAGTGATGCTCCGGGATTATTTTGCATCTTTGGAAACTGGAACTTTGGTGTGTGTGTGTGTGTGTGTGTGTGGCCATGTCTTTAATACCTGGTGGGGACAATTTCCTAGGAATATGCTACATTTTGGGGACTCATAGGTACTTGTGGGGACCAACAACTGGTCCCCATAAGGAAAGTTTCTCTTCTTGGGGTGGGGGTTAGGTTTAGGACTAAGGTGTGAATTGAGCTTAGGTTAGGTTTAGGGATAGGCATGTGTCGGTAATGGTTAGGCGTTAGACACTCTCTCGATGACCCCCCCCCACCCAGTCCGACGACTAGAGCAGTTGGTTAGGGGATCAAAGGCAATGCATTGGCCGACGCACGTTCGTTGGTATCCCTCAGATCCATAGCCAAGCCAGTTTGTAGAACTTGGAGAACTAGGGTTAGCTTTTAGAGTAATGTTAGGTTTAGGCAGGGATTCCACTAATATTAGGGTCAGTAGCCAATTGATCGGTAAGTTGATAGTAAGGGCTAAAATTAGGTTTAGGGCAAGTGTCAAGGTTAGGGATCGGCTAAGTGTAATTGTAAGGCAAGGGTCAGGTGTTAGGTTTAGGCATGGATTCCACTAATATTAGGTTCAGTAACTAATTGGTCTGGTAAGGTGATATGTGCTATAAGTGTAGTATAAGGGTGGAGGGCAAGGGTCACGGTTAGGCCATATAAATTAGTGGCATGTGCATGTGTGGATCACATGTTTATTTGGGAAAATTGAGATGAATCTAGATCCATAGGTAAGCCGCTCATTCACTGTTGAAAAGCTGCATGCATCGAAATTTCGTTTTGGATGCACTGACGATAAAGTTGGTCTAAGTTTGGTTGTCTTTAGCGTTTTTTTGTTGCCAAAGAGGCAGACGGCCGTTGCCTTCTCTCATATTTGTCTTTTGCCTGTTTGGTTCATGGACGTCCTTCATGCATTTTTTGTCCTTTCATTGACTCTGATATTAGGATGGAATAAAAACAGTTCTTCAGATTTGAAGAAGCTCTTTAGGCAGGAAGTCCAGTGAAAGCTTAAGGAACTCTACTCTCTCCTTTATTGACACTTTTTTGTCCCTTTCAACCCTTTAAATCCCGGTAAGCTGAAGTCTATTCAGACTCGGCTCTGCAGCTTTCTGTGAGCTCAAAGAAAGTGGTAATTTTCCATCGCCGACGCAGAGCTGTAAAGCTGTAAATGTTGCTTTTTTTCCCACTCAACACAAGCATTACAGCAGCAGTTAGTCTACAGACTAATTGTTCAGCGTACCCTTGAGTGCTTCCATGCTGAAAAGACTAAAACACAATGTAGCCTGAGGTGACGTACTGCATGTCAGGCTTGAAACTTTGACATTCGGTCGAGGGTGAAACAATGTCAAAGAAGAAAAACTGAAAAAACAGGAGCTTTCAGCAGCTTTTGGTTGAATGAATATAAAATAGAGGTGATGCTTCTGCTTCAAAGCTTCACTCTAATGGATATAATAGTGGGAACTGGTGCAAAAACTCACAGCAAAGTAAGAGTTGATGGAATGATTAATGAAGTGATAAAATAAAGAACTCTTTTATAGAATAATTGATCAAATAAATTCAAGATTTGATGAAATAATCTGCAGTCCTCTGACAATAAATCATCTCCTTGCAGATTGATTCCTGTGTTTTTGTATTTATCTGCAGTGTTTAATTATTCAGTGACTATTTAACGGCTTCGTCTGGAATCATGGAAGATGCAGACTCCCTGGTTCCACCTGGACGGCCAGATGAAGGCGCCTGGTTGTACCTTGGTGAACCAGAGGAAGTCCTGCATGAGGGAGCTGCTGTAGGAGTCGTCCACCTCCACGATGGGAATCTGCTCCTCGGCGGTGACCAGTAAACTGTCCTTATGGTAGAAGACAGCAGCCAGGTAGATCCCTCTGCAAACAGCACAGATGGGGGTTCAGCCTCACACCGCTGACAGCTGCAGGTTTCACACCTACCAGGCTGTGAAGCAAACCTTTTCAGTGTCTTTACAAACTTGTTGGAGGAGTTGAAGAGGTGTTTGAGGCTTCTAGAGACTGACTGCTTCCTGCTCGGGTTCTGCAGTTTCGATGAGTCTATGGAGGAAAGAGCAAGAAGGAGGTTAGAACGGACCCTGATGCCCAGACCAGCTGCTGAAGGGATTCAGATTCAGGGTCAGCAGGTTCAGATCGCTCTCCCACATTCAGATGATCTCCTCCATTCCTCCTCCTATCTCTGCCCCCCCCTCGTCTGTCCCCGGCTGCTGGGCGATGCCAATCTCCAGACCGTAGCGGCCTTTTAGTCCGGCTAATTACACGCCATGAAATTGGCGAGCTGTAAACAATCCAGAAGTGGCTGCAGCCGTGCCGCTTGTCAGGAGCCGGTTCTGCTGCAGACAACCGGCTCTCCTATAACTTATGTTAAAATGACTCACATCAGGGAAAAGTTGATTTATTTCCCTTTATGAAGAATCATCCTAAAGAAGATGAACACAGAAAGAGCAAAGAAAACAAACGAATGAACCTAAAAGTATCTGAGTTCGTTCGTCCTTTAAATCAGGAGACAAAAGACAAACATAATTGAAGCATCTATGCAAAAATTCTACTTTATTTAAACATTTAAAGAGGGAAAACATCTAAAACAGAAACCACTGGGTTTAACTACTGGAAGCTACGGATAATTTCCATCTTAATTTCCCTAAAGATGACTTAAAACGTTACATGAATCTAAACAGGAACTTATAAAAGTCACTGCAAGTTAGATTAAATAACTGGTACCTTAAAGGTATAGTGGAATGTAACAGGGAACCTTTGTTACGTTTATATTGGCTGAAATAACAGTTCAACACAGCATATAGTTTTTTAAATTGGTTTATTTTGGGTGCAGTGGGGTTTTTTGGGGGCGTGGCTCCTTTGGTCGGCCACATCTTGTCTTCATTGTTCTAGAAAGGTAAAATTATTTCACTCCTTCTATAAACTCTTCCTATAAAGGAAACTCATGAATTAAAGTAGTGATGTCATGAGATGAGCCGAGGCTTCGAGGCGTGTGTCGGTTAATGGAGGGGGCGTTTCCCCAAAGTGCGTGTCGAGGCAGGATTTATTTTGGGGAGGGGCCAAAATTGGTGACGTCCGAAGCCGTCGCCAATTTCAATACCGTGATACGATGTGATCGCTTCAGGAAGTGGTTCAGAAAGCACCAGAACTTCAGCAGGAATCTAAACAGCTTCAGTGTTCAGCCAAGATGGAGGAGAGCTGCTGTCAGTCGGATAGTTTGGATAGATTCTAAGAATAGATTGGTTGGAAAAACAACCAATCTAGTTGGTTAAAACTAGTTTAGTTGGATCGGGCATTCCCAAACTTGGTCCTCAAGGCCCCCTGTCCTGCAGGTTTTAGAGGTTTCTCTGCTTCAGCACAGCTGGTTATAATGATTGAAGCTGTTAATCAGCTTTCAATTAAAATCAGCTGTGCTGGAGCAAGGAAACCTCTAAAACCTGCAGGACAGGGGGCCTTGAGGACCGAGTTTGGGAATGCCTGAGTTAGATCAAACAATGTAATGATTGAAATCTGAGCAGGTTGATGGATACGGCTTTAACTTTAGTGTCTGTTCAACAGTTATGCATGTTGGTGGCCTCAGCTGTAAGACATTGACTTTCACTCCTGAGGTCGATGGTTCAGGAGCCGCTGTAGACTTTTAAAAGTTTCATTATACTTTAGTATTTTGATTAATGTGACAAATTTGTATTGGTTTAGTAAAAGTATAGATTGGGTAAAAACGCTGCGAAATTAGATTGGCTGATTTAGCCAAAAGATTGGTTGAACACAGAACTTCTAACCCAATTAAAACCAAAAACCGTGGAAAAACGATTAATTTTGAATAAAATGACGAACACCTTTCTTTCACTGACTGCTTGAGCTTATTTCACAAACAGTGTACCTGAAATGATTGTTCTCTACTAAGACATTTTGTACACCATTATACACACTAAATCATTAACAATTTCAAAGGAACTTAAATGGGAAATAAACAAGAAAAAAAATCAGCTTATATTAACCAACTGTAGTTCTGCTTTCCACCAGTAGGTGGTGACATATTCACATGAAGCCTCATGAACTGATTGTTGAAGCAATTTGGCCAAAGAGGAACAGTGAGTAGAACTGCTGTCTGCAGCAAGAAGGTTCTGGGTTTGATTCCCAGTCCGGGGTCTTTCTGCATGGAGTTAGCATGTTCTCCTTGTGCATGCGTGGGTTCTCTCCGGGTACTCCGGCTTCCTCCCACAGTCCAAAAACACAGTTAGGTTAACCGGCTTCTCTGTGAATGGTTGTTTGTCTCCTGCCCTGCGATGGAGTCACCCATCCAGGAAGGGCAGGTCTCCAGTTGGAGATCGGCACCAGCAGCCCTCGCCACCCCAGCAGGGATAAAGTGTGACGGAAAATGGATGGATGGTGCTTAACAGACTCAATAATAAAAAACCCAGAAAAAAAATGCATTGGATGGAAAAAACCTGCCATCAATTAAATAGAGGTAATCCAATGAGTCATTTTTCTGATTGCATGGTTGGAAACGTGACCGTGACTGATGTGACAGTTAGAGATGATTTCACTGTTCCAGACCAGCAGGCATCAGTGATTCACTGAGTCGTTCAAACCTCCCAGGTTAATGCAATCCCAGTTTAACCAGTGAGTGTGCTCTCACTCTGAAGTTTTCCTGAAAAGCAGCGGCTGTAAGTGCGCTGCTGGTGTTAGCTGCCGCAGCGCTGCAGAATTATCCGACAATAAGTCCTCGGCCTGCTGTGCAACGCCGCCTAATAAACAAAGAAAGGAGCTCAGATTAGAGCTGATCAGGAGACCTTTTTTCCTTTCAGTCTGACCAATTTCTACTGATTGTAAACAGGCAGACATGAATACCTGCAGCGTTTAATCAGTGGAGGAACAAATAGGAATTTTTATGATTCAGCTCCAGTAAAATGACTAAGAACTCTGCGATCATAAAACCAGGGAGGCGGGAAATGAAACGCTTAAACATTAAAACGGTCCTTTGGTTTGATGAACGAAGCTTCGAACCGACCCAGATCGACGCCTCATCGACAGCGTGACCTCTCGGTCAGAGGTCAGACGGAGAGATGAAGGACAAACGGAGGCGCAGTCAGAATGGTAGCCACCACTCAGCTGGTTCCCTCGTTTCATTTCTTCTCTCAGCATCAGGCTGACATTTTCTTTAGCTTTCTGCCTGGGAGTTGAAGGGTTAAAGCGTCGACCAGCAGAGGTCCGATCGGCTCCCTGATGCTGGAGTTTGGGGCAGATTAATGCGGCGTCCTCCGAAATGATGGAAACACGTCATAAATTAGCGTGGCCTGCTGCTGAAGGAGCTCTTTGTGCAGATGCTCATTCATTTCTCACCTTTATTTTTGGCTCTCTGAGAGTAAACTGTGTAAATATGCAGCCCTCATACGAGCAGCGGGTTTACGTTACAGCTGCAATAATGACCCAGCCAACACAGCTGAGCTCTGCAGCAAAAACATGATCGCTTTTACATTTAAAAGGATCTCTATCAACATATAACATGTTTATGCAACTGGAAGGTTGTTCCAGTTTCCTGCCCCCCCCTCCAAACATGGAGGTCTGATCCAAACTTAAAGGCACCTGCCTTCAGGAGCAGCTCTACTTCTTCCAGAGATGCTCTGCTCTACACAGAGCTGCTACCTTCAGGCTCTAACAGAGGCGTCTGGGTGTGGAGCTGAAGATGCTCCCATTTAAAGAGCAGAAGCTCAATTCTAGTCAGTTTATTTCTATAGCTCCAATTCACATCATGTCATCTCAGGTCACTTTCCAGTTCACCAGATCATCCAGTCAGATTGATTCAAAGTTTTCTATCTAAGGAAAACCAGCTGATTGCATCGACTCATTGACTCTTCAGCAATCCCTCACACTAAGCATGCTTGTAGCGACAGTGGAGAGGAAAAACTCCCTTTGAACAGGAAGAAACCTCCAGCAGAACCAGGCTCAGTGTGAGCGGCCATCTGCTGAGGCTGAATAAGAAATGAAGAAACGTCAGTCAAAGGCTTCCTGACACTACTTCCTGTGTGATCGTGTCTGTAAGGCCCAATCAGGAGGAGGCTTGCAGAAGAGGCCGCTGGTGGACGCGCGGTGAGATCCCGAGTGTGCGTGGGAGGAGCTGCCGCCTGCAGAGAGCGATTTTATCCCTTCAGAGGGGCAGTTTCTGGCGCATGTGTGATTTTGTTGTGCGGTGGTGGATTAAAAACGTGCAGAAGTAGTTGAACGTACATGCGAGTAGGTTTATTTGATCGCAGGCGTTTTGAAATAAATGTGATGCCATAAGCAGCTCCTGAAAGAGCCGAAACCAGAGCGTAAACCCAGCTGCCTTCATGCTAGACAGACTTCACCGTCTGTGAGGAGAAAAACTTTCTAAAACCATCTTTATCTAAAAGTGTTTCTATTTTATCTGCTGTTCTAGTAGATTCCTTCTATTGTTTGCTTTTAATTCATGAACATGTTTTATGGTCTGTTTTATTTGCTGTGTTTGCAGCACTGTGAATAAAGACGTGTGGAACAAAATCACTCCGAACATCGCAGCAGACTCCCCACAGCGCCCTCTACTAGAGATGTCCCGATGCAGGTTTTTGCACTTCCGATCCGATACCGATATTGTTTTTGGACTTCCGATCCGATACCGATACTGGCCGATACCAGCCTATCCGAGCATGTATTTAAGTTTAAGTTAAAGTATTTAGCCTTAGTTGTAAGACTCATGTTGAAAAGGGTTTTAGTGCTCTTGATAACATCTAGCCAGCTAAATTAGGTGAGATTGAATAAAACACAATGCTTGGTAACAACAAACTTACCTGTTTATTAAGAGATAAACACAAACTGGACAAAATTATGAATAGCAATCTGAAATTGCACAGTGAACAGTAAAACCGTAAACAGTTAAAGGTGGTATATTATGGCGCAAAATAGTGGAATGGATCGTTTCAATCGGCAAAACTGGAAAATACGGACCGGATTTTTTTTTAAAAACTGGATCGGCAGTCTGGATCGGCATTTTACATGCTTTGCCGATACGCATTTTTTTGCCAATATCGGCGTCCCGATCCGATACGTGGATCGGATCGGGACAAGCCTACCCTCTACAGCCTCTATAGGGCTTTGCAAAGCTTCACCGTTTCCAGACGCACTCACCTCCACAGCAGTAGTGTGTGTGCGTCGCTCGGACCTGCTGCAGCAGACGCTCCATGGCCTCGACGTGGCCCCGCCTCCTGGGCTCACGGCCGTCGCTCTCCCTCCAGTCTGAAAGCAAAGAGGTTTGGTGAGAAACTGATGGCAGCTGCAGAAAAGCAGCTTTGCAGATGGGATGAATATCAGCGCAGATCAGGGGCGGATTTAGGAAATGTGGGGCCCTAGGCAAAGACAGGCAGGGGGCCCCTCTGAACTGAGAAGACATAAAACAGCCCCATTCTCCAGATATAGAAATGTTAATAGAATAGACATCCATTATCTGTTCTAGGTTGTGTCCCTCTCTTCTTGTCCCTTTTCTTCTTGTTTTCCTCTCTATGTTTTGTACTCAGCTGACTTTTCATGCTGTCTCTAAAGGAATGAAAGATTTTTTCCAAGCACTAAGCTCACTTAGCTGATTGCTCCTTCCTGTGTTTCCAAAAAGGCCAAAGTAAATAACCCAGTCCTTCTTTTCACTGTAGACAAGCCATGATCTGCTTCTCTGTTCTCCATTTTTCATTTGGATGAAATAATAGCTGCATGAATCATGACAGCAGACAAGATAGAGGAGAGCAGGAGGCGGGGTTACCAATCTACTCGCTCTGGAGAGCAGAGTTCGCTGCTTTTAGATGTTGTCTCCAAAGTCTCTAGTAGCAGAAAAAAGTCTCTAGATTTGGCGCTAGGAGCTTTTTAGAAATCAAAGTGCTAGAGGGGTCTGAAAAGTGGCTAAATATAGCGACTAAAGCGCTAAGTTGGCAACACTGCTCTTTGCATGGTTTGTTTTCAAATGGTTTGCTGCTGTCTGTTTGGACCTTTCTGAACATGTGCAGCAAATGGACTGATCCAATATGGAGGACACTGAAGGGGGGGGGCTGAGACACACTGAATATTATCAGCGTTCTGATGGCATTTTAGCCAAAGGATTTTTATTAAAAACATAATTAATGTGAACAAATAAGGAATAGTTGGATTAACCATTCATGGAAACAGAGTTTTCTGGGGCCCCCAGGAACCTGGGGCCCTAGGCACCTGCCTGGTATTGTTTAGTGGGAAATCCCCCCCTGGAGCAAATTCACCTTTTCTATGGGAGCCATTTGTAAAGTGAAGCAGTCACAAATTAGGAGCAATAGTTGGTTATTTAGAGTGTTTTAGGAGAAAAATATGGTGGTAAATTTTTCCAGGTAATATTTCACTCTGATTCATTTATTTCTAAAAATCAAAGCTCCAAACTAAATACTTATATTGTCAGTTAAATTTGTCAGGAAGCTAAATATTTATTTTCAAAAGTAAATACTTGTTAAATTAATATTTAGCTCCAAATTAAAAATTTTGTTTTTCATATAATTATGTATTTTACAAAATATTTATTTTGGAAAATAAATATTTAGCTTGATGATAATTTTTAACTGACTAAGTATTTTGTTTAGAGCTTTGAATTTTATAAATGAATGAATGACAGAGTGAAAAATTACCTGGAAAAATTTACCCCCATATTTTTCTCTTAAAAGATGTTAAATAAACATAAATATTGCTCCTAATTTTCCACTGCTTCACTCATGGCTGTGGGAAGTGGGGGTGCTGCAGAACCCCCTAGTGACGAGAGAGAAATAAAAACAAATTTATTGAAAATGTATTAATTTGTTCAAAGTATTTAGGTTTCTTTCTTTCTTTCTTTTTTTACTATTACCTGTATTTGGATTTTAATTTAATCATTTTGAAGCCAATTAACCAAGTTCATGGAAGTTACGTCATGGCAACGTCAAGCGGACGCAGAGTAAAGCGGCTTCCTGCTCACGGCAGCAGAGTAATAAATTTAAATAGTTTAATGAGAGAAACGAGGAGGAAATATGGCGCAGAAACGTATTTCAGACTTTTTTGGGAAAACCACCACCAGTGAAGAAGAACACTAGTACCGTAACCACGACAACGGAGAGACCGAGGAGACTGTCCGCCCGACTGGCGGTTGCATAAGCAGGCCCAGCCACACACCCTATCCCAACCTAGCGTGTAACCATGGCAACCTGCCTGTAGCTCAAAGCACGGTGCCGCCGCGCACTTTCATATCTATTCATGCAGTTTAACGCAACCATAGTATTTTAGAGTTATTTTGTTCTTTGTGAAATGGAGAACTGTTCAATAAAGTTTAAATAGTATAATATTATAATTATTTCCTTGTTTTTTGTTTAAAATGATTTTGGAGCAAATAGAGTGACGTGTGACATAAACACACGTGTGACCTAATCTACGCCGTTATAGTTTTATTGTGAAGTTTAATTAATAATCCATAGATTCACCTGAGAACTGATGATGTCTGTGTGTTACAGACCCTGGTTGAACTGAAGTAGATATGACAATAAAGTATTGAATCTCAATCTATTTATTTATTTATTGTAATTTAAATAAGTCTCATAGTTCTTTCGTCCAAAATAAATAAAATGTTCACAGCACCCCCTGTTCAAAATGACTTCCAGCGGCCCTGGTTTGACTTTACGAACGCCTCCTGTAGCTGTTTGTGTTCAGGATGTTTCACAGCAACCAGAGCTGTGATGAATGGTGCAGAAATGAAGGCGGGGAACCAGGGTGGCTGACGACCAACCAGACTCTGACCTGCAGTCCTCACTCATAACTAAGGGTGTCGAAAAAAATCCTTTCGGCAATATATTGTGATTTTTAGCTGCCTGAAATAATATCGATCTGTTTCTCAAAACCGTAAAACTGAGGGAAAATGGGCTGCCACTCTGGTAGATGGCGCTGTGGAGCCTTTTTCCTGTGCAGCGCTGCGCCATATCTGTACATAAGCTTGGTGCGCCATGGCAACAAGCTTATCAGACAGTTTCCAGCATCAGCTGGGGCCTTCCACCGGAGATTATGGAATATCTGTGATGATATGTGGCAGAAATAAGAAAAACTAAATGGGAAGAAACAGGAACAGACACTTAAGAGTCATAAACTGCAGCCTGCTACAGAGACAACATCAACCACTAATTCATATAAACTGGCTTTATTAAACATTAGATCTCTGTCAGGAAAATCCCTTTTAATTAATGACTTTATTATTGACAATAATGTTGATCTTATGTTTTTAACAGAAGCATGGTTACATGAACTTAATGAAGCACATGTTCTGTTTTTTTTTCTTTGCGAGAGCAGACAGCAAAGGAAAGGTGGAGGAGAGGCGACATTGTTTAATGACTCACTGAAGTGGAAAAAGGTGTTTTTGGGAAAATTTGACTCTTTTGAATCTCTGAATGGCTTAGCACCTAAATACATCACAGACTTGCTATCAGTGTATCAACCCTCCAGACCACTCAGGTCTTCTGGCTCCAGCCTGCTCTGCAGACCTAGAACCAGAACTAAACATGGAGAAGCAGCATTTAGTTCCTATGCTCCACTTATCTGGAACAAACTTCCAGAAAACTGGAAAAGTGCGGAAAGCCTGAGTTCCTTTAAATCAAGACTAAAAACACATTTGTTTAGGATTGCCCTTGAGTTCAACTGAAACATCATTAGTTCAACTTTTTTATTTTCCCAAGTAAGTAAGCAAGTATCCCCTACTTGCTTTGATTCTCTTCTATTTTCCTATATTTTAATCATGTAAAGCACTTTGCATTGTCTTGGTACTGAATTGTGCTATATAAATAAATTTGCCTTGCCTTGCCTTGCCTAGTTAAGGCATTCACAGTGGAAGACGTGGACCGACTCAAACCCCAAGCAACATGGATACCAAAATAACTGAACGATCACCATCATCTGATGAACATATGCAGAGGTCGCTTTTTTATCTATACATTTAATTTTGATAGCAGGAAAAAATATCTAAATTTGTGGTGATATTGCAATATAGGGATAATTTATTGCAACACCCGTGCTAATACTCACCCCTACTGCTAACACATTAGGAATAGAAAATAATCTGCTCTCTTATATGACTGTTTACCAGAGAGTTTGGTTCAGTTCTTTGTCAGAGAAGCTCTGCTCTCTGGTCCTGAGAGGAGCAGGATCAGCGCATTGGTGTCTCTATGACGCTGTGATGGCGTCTCTGACTCCTGGAGCAGAACCGCCTTTCAGAGGAATCTGTTAGAACTTGTTAATGGATTCAGGACTGTGATGCTTTGGCTCTGCTTATTTAAAAACAGCCGCCCTTCTTCTCACACCCCTGTTCTCCGGCTGCCGCCTGGAGTCTGGGGCCTGGAGGAAGAGCGGGCCGCCTGGTCCGTGGTTTTGGCTGGGGCTGGCTGCGGGGCCTAGGTGGCCTGCTGGTGGCGGGGCTGTCACCTCTGCTCTCCCCAAAGAAGGTTGGATGGAGGGGCATGAAGTGCCTGGTTGAAGGTTTTTTTTTTTTTCTTTCTGTTCGGGGGGGGGGGGGGGCGGTTCTGGTTGGGTGGCCGGCGCGGGATGGGTGGGCCCCGGTCCCGGGGGGGGCTCTTGCTGGGGGTGGTCCGGTCCGTGTGCGGGGTGGGGGGCCGGGCTTGAAGCAGGAAAGAGATGGGTTGGTGTGGCGGTGTCGCCGCTCCCCTCCCCTCACATCCGGATTTTAGGTTCACTTATGGGGTCATCCGATAGTCCCGGGACCGACCACCGGTGTCACCGGGTTTTTGGTCCTGGTATTATTGGATGTGAGTGTTATGTGTGAACGTGTGTCCGCGTTGTTATTTTCTTTATTTATTATTATTATTATTTTATTCAATTTTATTCAATTTTTTTTTTTTCTCCCAGGTTGGGGTCTCAACTGCCCCCTCTCCCAAATACATCTCAAGTCTCCGCTAAGTGCGGAGCCCATTCCCCCCGTCCTGCTCTCCCTCCGCTGGCTGGCGTCGGGGCTCACCGGTGCACTGGTGGAGCTGGGGGTGGATGCCCGGGGGACTGCGGGCTCATTCCTGGCGGCCTCTCCGCTGGCCCCGGCCGGCCGGGGCTTTGCTGGGGCTCCTGTCTGGGGATCGGGTGCCCTTGGGGCCTCGGATCCCTGGGGCCTGGGACTGGATCCGCTTCGGGGTGGGGCTGGGTGTTGTTCGGGGATTTTCGGGGTCGGTGCCGGTGCCTTCGCTACGATGCCGGTTCCTGGGCGGTGTTTCTTTCCTATGCCGGTTCTGTGGTACCGGTTCGGGGGGGGGGGAGCTGCACGGCATGGTGGGGTGCGGGTCTTGGGTCCTGTTTTGGGCTCCGGTTTTTCCGCTCGCACTTCTCCTCTTGCCTATTTATTTAAATTGTAATTATTAATTAATTAATTAATTTACCTATTTATTTATGTTTTTTTTTCTCTTCCTCGGTGGGGGGGAGCGGTTGCGGGCGGGTCGGTGTCTGGTGTCCGCTGTCGCATTGTGGGGGCATTGTTTTTTTTTTTTTTTTTTTTTTTCTTCTACCTTTGGGGGGTTTGGCATGTCTGTTTTCTCGGGGGGCGGGCGGGCCTGCTGGGTGGGGGTCCTGCTGGCGGCGCGCCGCTGGTGTGTGGGGGTCCGGGCGGCTCCGGCCGGGGTTGTGTTGGGGGGCCGGTCTGGGCGGGCTGGCTGCGCTGGCTGGGTATTCGGGTGGGTTTTCCCTCCTGGAGACATGGTGGGGCTGCTCTGTTCCCGCTGATCGCGGCGGGTGGGGCTGCGGGGCGGGTGGGGGCCTGGAGTGGCTATGGCCGGCGCGTGGTGGGGGGCCGGGGCGGCGGAGCTGCTCTGGCCGCGTGTCAGGGCCTGGTGCGGGCGGTGGGGGGGGGGGGCGGACGTGGCTGGGCTGCTTTGGCTTCGTCCGGGGGGGGGGCGGCGCGGGTCGCTCCGCTCTGGCTTTGTGCTGCCCCTCGGGCTGCTGGGGGGGGGGGTTGCGCCGGCTGCGGTCTGCTCTTCTTGCGGTTTTGCGCCGGGCGGCTTTTCTGCTCTCGGGCTGATTCTGTGCGCGGTGTGTTTCGTTGCGCGCTGTTGGCATCGGTCTTGGTGGGGTGGGGCTGCGCTTTTGGCCGGGGGGGCGTTTTTGGGGGGTCCCGCGGCGCTCGCGGCCGGTTCGCGGCGGATGCGCATGGGCCCCGGCCGGGGGCGGGGCCGCCTGAGTGTTTTCCTGGGTGGTGCGGTCGCGGTGGGTGTTGCGGCCGGTCGCCGGGGCTTGGTGCTGGGGGGCGGGGCGTGTTTCGGTGCTCTGTGGGGCTGGGGCGTTTCGGTCGGCGCCGTGGGGGGGCTGGTGTTCGGTGCCCGGCCCTACTTCGGGGTGGCCGGCTGCCGGCGGGGCCCGCGGACTCGTCCCCGCGGCTCCCCGGGGCGCCGGCATGGCGGTGGCTGGGGGGCTTCTTCGTGGCTGTCTCTCCTCCTGCCTTGGTGGGGTCTGGTTTCCGGGGCTGGCCCCGCCTTGGTGCCTTCGCTTCTGGGGTCCCCTTGGGCGCCTGGGGCTTTGGGTCTCCCGGCACTGGACTCAGTGCTCTGGGGGGTGTGCCTCTCCGGCTCTCCACAACCACTATTGAGCATTTTTTCTATGGTTAAAACTTTACATGCACAAGTTCACCCTCACAAACAACTACAGGTGCTAGGCTTCAGGTACTTAGAGATTCACTTCCAAACAGAAACCCCACATTCATATCTTCAGGTAACACAGAGTACATGTCAGACTTAATAATATTACGTTAGCGATAGTTTCAAGGTGTTTGCTTTATTGTATATCTCGTACCATGTTTTTTGGTTGTGCTGTTCTTTTTTTTTTTTTTTTTTTTTTCCATCTCATTACAGGTGTTGAAGCAGACTGAAAATGTTTTGTCATTGTCTCCTTCCTATCTCCTCTTTCTTTCATCTTTTGTCCTGTTTTTTTCTTTTTCTTTTCCCTTCTTCTTCTTCTGTTTTTCTGCTCTACTTACATTGCAGTGTCCATATGAACTGTAAAACTCCCTGCATAATTATAATAAAGCAATTTATATACATGAAACAAGTGGAGCGGTATGGCAATTGCCATACCGCTACACTTGTGAAAGTAAAATCTGTTGGGCTCCTTTTGGCATCAAGACAATTATTCTTATTGCCACCTTGCCAGACAGGACACTGTAAAAAAAAAAAAAAAAAAAAAAAAAAAAAAAAAAAAAAAAAAAAAAAAAAAAAAAAAAAAAAAAAAACAGCCGCCCACACACTCTCTGCCCTGCGCCGCTGTTAGAAAACACACACACAGCGCAGAGACGCACACACACACTCCAGCAGCTCAAGGCTCTGCAAAGAAAAGAAATCGTGATTGAGAGCAGGAGCTGCTGTTCCAACTCTGAGGAGCTGAGATCAGAACATGCAGCTCTGCATTCAGGTGGGAAAATCACCGCTTCCACCTTAAACACAGAAATACACTGCAAAAACGATCTAGAAATAAGTAAAAATGTCTTAAATTAAGTGTATTCACCGTTAATTTAAGTAGGTAAATGAGATAGTTTGCCAGTGGAATTAGTATTTTACTCTTAAAATAAGATAATTAGATAAAATGCACTTGAAATAAGACAATGCATTGTGTTTTCTTATTTGAAGTGTAAATTGTCTTGTTCTATTGGCGAAATGTCTCTTTTATCTCTTCAATCCAAGAACAAATGCACTTATTTTAAGAAAAAATGACTTAACTAGATTTAGATTTTTTGCAGTGTACTCAGAATACACTGCAAAAACAATCTAGGAATAAGTGAAGATTTCCTAAATTAAGTGAATTTAACCTTAATTTTAGTAGATAAATAAGAGGCTTTGCCAATGGAATGAGTATTTTTACTCTTAAAATAAGATAATAAGCTAAAAATGTACTTGAAACAAGAGAAAGCAGTTGTTTTTTTCTTATTTTAAATGTATATTGTCTTGTTCCATTGGCGAAGTGTCTCACTTACTCCCTCAATCCAATAAAAAATGCACTTATTTTAAGAAAAAATGACTTATCTAGATTTGAATTTTATGCAGTGTAAGTCATAGATCTGCCTTTAACATTGTTAACTTTTCACCTTTGATATGTTGTTTTTTTCCTCCAGCAGGCTGGGTTCACTGATGGGACTTTTTTAAATTCTTTTACAGATTTTAGTGAAGCTGTTTATGATTTGAGAAAAAAACAGAAACAAACATGTTTTCCTTAAACTAACGTCTCTAATCAGCTCAATTCAAACTAAAAACATCTCCATGAAGATGATCTGAATCTGCGTTTCAAAGATAAATAAGCTGCAGAAGGAGCAGCAGGAACTTACTGGATGGAGCAGCTGATGGAGGCAGGGCGGAGGCGGGCGGACCCCAGCCCTTCATGTTGTACGCCGACACTCGGACGTAGTAAAGCCGACCCTGAAACGGGACAGAGAAGATGAAGCTGGACGTTCCTGAGCGTCGTCTTAACATCTGATGATGTTGCATCCAGCGCTGCTCAGGGCGGGAAGTGCATCAAAGTTTGGTTATGAACCTGAGGGGTGGGGGGGGGCGGAGAACAGAGGATCTCCGCTGCAGGGCGTGGCTGCCCACCTGCAGGCTGCACACCGCTCTGCAATTACTTCAACTTCCTGTTGGGGGTTTCAGGCGGTGTTTCCTGATGGCCAAAAGAATCCGCCTCCTTCAGGAACTTCAGCTCTGTGCTTTTCTCTGCCTCCCAGGTCAAAGTTCATCATTCTGGTAGATCTATACCTGATAGATCTCTTCCACCCCTTAATTGTTCAAATCTCTCTCTCCAGTTAGATCTTCAGTCTCCCTCTGCTCCTGCTGGAATCCATCTTGGCTTTGAAGATCTCATCATGATGTCTGCATTCAACCAGGAGCCCGTAGTTCAGGCATCTCCAACGTGGGCCCCTGAGGGCCGCTGTCCTGCCGGCTTTAGACGTTTCCTGCTCCAGCAGCTGATTTTCATTGATAGTTGATTAACAGGCTATTGCTGAAGTGCAATGATGAGAATCAGCTGTGCTAAAGCAGAGAAACCTCTAAAACCTGCAGGACAGCGGCCCCCCAGGACCCACTTTACAGACGCCTAGCGTAGTTATTTTCATCTGTTATCTTAATATCGATACTGATAATCTTATCTGTTAACTATCCAATCAGAATCTCTTCTGCGCATCTCACCAGATAAGAAATGCTGCTTCTTCCATCCCTGACTTTAACAGGCTTATGGAAGCAGAATTCTGTTAAGGAGTTGGTCCTTTCCAAATCTGTGCTTAAATAAGTCTAAAGACGTTTACCGTAAACATTTAAAATCCTCCTTCTCACATATAAAGCCTTAAATGGCCGAGCTCCATCTGATATCAGAGATCTGATTGTTCCTGATGTTCCTAACAGAGCACTTCGCTCTCAATCTGCAGGTTTACTAGTGGTTCCTAGAATTTCTAAAAGTAGAATGGGAGGCAGATCTTTTAGTTATCAGGCTCCTCTCCTGTGGAACCAACTACCAGTTTTAGTCCGTGAGGCAGACACCCTGTCTACTTTTAAGGCTAGGCTTAAAACTTTCCTTTTTGATAAAGCTTCTAGTTAGAGTGGCTCAGGTTATCCTGATCTATCTCTATAGTTCTGCTGCTATAGGCTTAGACTGCTGGAGGACATAGGGACCCCTTCTTCATCATTCTGCTTCATTCTATCTCTGTTCTCCCACTCTGCAGAATCTGGTAGTTCAATCTCTAACGTTCTGCTCTCTCTGCTTTTTCTCATAGTAGCTTCATCTGGTCTGTTCCTGTTTGGCTGTGACTCCATCCTGGAGAGAAATATCAGCTGTGCTGCTGCCATCAACACCTTTGTTTCTAATTTCTTTGCCTGTGGAGCTGGTTGACAGTTGCCTTTTGTATCTATGCTTCTTTTTCTATCTCTGCTTCTGTCTCCTTGAACCCCAGTGGGCCTCAGCAGATGGCCGCTCACACTGAGCCTGGTTCTGCTGGAGGTTTCTTCCTGTTCAAAGGGAGTTTTTCCTCTCCACTGTCGCTACAAGCATGCTTAGTGTGAGGGATTGCTGAAGAGTCAATGAGTCGATGCAATCAGCTGGTTTCCCTTAGATAGAAAACTTTGAATCAATCTGACTGGTTGATCTGGATCTATAAAGTGACCTGAGATGACATGATGTGAATTGGAGCTATAGAAATACACTGAATAGAACTGAACAGGAAAGCTGTTTAAACTGTCTTTGCTTCAAACTCCATTTATTTCCTTAAATCCATCTGATGCTCGCCTACTTTTCTCCTTATTTCAGATGAACCTCTTTGCTGTTTCTATTCTGAATCCTCTGATTGATGCTGCTTGTTGGTGAAAAGCGAAATTCAAAGCACTGCTTTCTATTGTCCTCTGAAGACTGAGATAAAACAGCTAAAGCGGCTAAAGTGTCTTATTTGGATCAAACTGTGAAGATGTTGGATTGATCTCATGTTTAGGCTGGTTTGGAAACCGTTTCCCAGCCTCCCACAGGCGGCCGCCCTGCAGCAGATGCTGGGTTGCTGCTTGTCTTTGTGCTGCAGGAAGATTTCCAGCAGCTTTATTAAATGTTTGGGGAAAATCTGATTAAAGCGGAGAAAACAGTGAACGTCAGCGAGAGGAGGAGGAGGAGAGAGCCGTTACCGTGGACAGGCTGCTGATGGTGCATTTGAGGCTCTGCAGATTATCCAGCACCGTCTCACCGGCGAGCAGAGAGAAATCCTTCAGGCAGCTCCACTCCACTGTACACACACACACACACACACACACACACACACACACACAGGGTTAATTACGCCAGAGGTGTTAGCAACAAGCTGCATTTTCTTTCATTACAGATCAATAGTTCCTCCTGAGGCGCTGAGATCATCGTTAACCTTCTCATTGTTTGGCACAAAGCCTGCAGCCGTCGCTGACTGTGAAACATGCCCACTGATCTTTCTCACAGCAGACAGGTTTCTCCTTTTTATTCACCCTCACTGAGGAGGAGGTGAAAGGAGGAACCTCTGCTGGGCAGAACACCAGCAGAAACTGGGAGCACCACAGAACCCAGCACCAGACTGGGAACTGAGAGAAAACCCAGAAGCTTCCTGACATCAGTGCGAACAGAAACTCAGAGCCTTTCTGACTAAAAATGAAATAAAGATTAAAGGTTTATTAGATGTCGAAGCCAATAATTAGAAATCCTCCTGAACTTTTGTCTGTTTCTGTAGCAAATAGTAATGAAGTTGTGCTGTAGAGCAGCTCTGACGCTCAGAGCCAACAGGTGGGTCTGCAGGATCCCAGAACGAGGCAGAAGGTATCCAGATATTTAGACCCTAAAGCCCCATTTAGACCAACCTCTGAAAACCGATCCGTGCCAAGCTTGGATCAGCTAACGGTGCTGAGCTCAGTCACACCATGCTAGCACCGTTCCTCCCCTCCTAGTGGCAATCTATGGTACTACTGCTCTCTAGAGCGGAGGTCTTCAACAGGGGCTCCGCGATGCCTAGGGGGTCCACGTAGGTACACCATGGGGGTCGCAAATGTTTTGGTTGTTTAGACTTTTTTTTATTCCCTCCTGCAATTTTTTCCACTAATTAAAATGTCTTTAAATCCTCATTAACATGAATCCAACAGACTAGTAAACAGATAAATGAAGGCAGAAGATGTCTTTCAGTCATCAATGCTCACATTCAGAGACACACAGGAGCTCTTTCAAGCTGGGCACCGTTTCATTCACAAAACCTGTCCCATCAACCAGGAATCAGAAATACTTTAATAATCCCAGGGAGGGATTACTTTAGTTACATTACTCCATCTGTAATAGAGTAACTATAGGACTAGTTTGATAGAACACTATTTAATACAACATATATAATTAGGGGGTCCCCGCTCCATCTCGCCATCAGTTTGGGGTCCTTGGCCTGGAAAACGTTGAAGACCCCTGATCTAGAGGCAAACAAGCAAACAAACATGGCGGCGCCCGTCACATTCAGGAAGTTTGCTGGGAGTCAGGTGAAAAAGGCAGCCTTTGGTGAATTTATGTGACAGAGTCGGCTTTTAGGAAGTGGATACGACAAACGAATCTAATCAGGGCTTATAGACGCAGGAAACAAGACTGCTAAGCAGGATAATCACTGGAAATCGTGCAGCGCTGTAGGGAAGCTAGGATTTTATGAATGATTACGGAGGCTGAGTGTGAGGAGTTGACGCGGTCTGCTCATGCACCATTTGTTATCTGAGAACCGAGCCAGAACTGAACCGCGCCGAGCCCGACTGATGAACTAGTACCATGTTAGCGCGGTTCAGTTGTATCTGCCGAGGTCCGGTTCAGTTTGGCGTATCATGTATACCCAACAGTACGGTGGCCCTGAAGTGCAAACTGCAACTACAAATCTAAAAGCACAACTACATTAAGGAAAACACAATTACATTAACCTACCGGAAAAGGTAGGTACCAGTGGGAAACATGAGACATCGCTGATTGGACGACGGCGCCGTTTGACCCTTGAACCAGAAGTTGCGTCGTCTGAACAGTCCAGCTTCTTTTAAGTGGTCTTCAGTGTACGCAAACTAACTGAAATTTGGTGATTAGTCTTGAGCATATCCAGTATCACCTCATACGTATGTCCTGATTCAAAATATTCCTGGCAGCTATGTTTGGGGCAACGACAATATCCATGTTTTCAAAAGCCGCAGCAGGCAGAATGACTTCCGGTTCAAGGGTCAAACGGCGCCGTCGTCCAATCAGCGATGTCTCATGTTTCCCACTGGTACCTACCTTTTCCGGTAGGTTAATGTAATTGTGTTTTTCTTAATGTAGTTGCGCTTTTAGATTTGTAGTTGCAGTTTGCACTTCAGGGCCACCGTACAACAGTTACCCCGGTTACCGTGCTGGGACCGATCTCAGCACGGTAGTTTAAATTGGGCTTAATTCTTATATCCAGCTCTGCTGTCGGACTGTTCATTATCCTTTTTTATGACTAAAATATGTTTCAGTCCATTCTGTATTCCAACACTGATCTGGTAAACGGGGAAAAAGCTGGAAATACTCTGCAGGCGTAGCAGGATACCTCTGTACTTGGTGACCACGGTGGAGTTCAGGCACTGCGGCTCCTGGAAGGTGACGGTCAGCGAGGTGCTGCTGCTCACGCTCAGTCGGACCATGGTCGGGGCCTCCGGGGGACCTGATGGGGGAACCGAGAGGAGCATGAAGGTTACAGCTTAGGAGGAGAAAGACCACTGAAAAACCAGTTTGAATTACCCACTAAAGTTAAATTCCAGGTTTTCCTCCTTGAACCTCAGCAACCAAGGCAGAGTTTGACGGTTTCTACACAAAAAGTCGTTCATGTGTTTGAATTTTCCAGGTTTTTTTAACTGGTCTAGAAAGAAGCTGGTTTAACCTTTTATAGGTTAAGTCAGTGTTTTTGATCACTTGCATGCACAAACGGGGTCCCCCCCATCCCTCAATGAGGTCTAGAAGCAGACTTAGAGACTTAGTAAGATTTTATTTTGTCATTTTGTAACCACAATTTTATACAAAATTAAATTTTATTAAGATTCTGAGTAGGGATTCACGATATAATCGGCCCCCTATCGGTATCGGCCTTAAAACTGAATATCGGACATCGGCCACCCCACCGATATTTAACCCGATATTTGATCAGCTTCTGAGTTTCTAAAGCCTAAAAAAAAAATAAAAAATGCTACTTCTTCTTCTTCCTCAAAAACTTCTTTTTTACAGACTTAAAAACTTCTAAAGACGAGTGAAAAAATATTGATCCATTAAAATATCCCAATATCTTCATATGCTGATATATTGCCATTTAAAAAAAACCATATCAATCTCTTTACTAATGAAATATTGCTATATGTCATCGTTATGCTACGAAATCCCCCCAAAATTCACCAAATGTTGCCATATTTTTATACGTTGATATATTGACGCGGTATCGATCTATTTTACTAACAAAATCTCACAAGAATTTGCAAAATATCACAAGAGTTTTAACAGAACGATGAAATTTCACGAGATTTTGAAAGTAAAATAGATCGATACCGCGTTTTTAAAAATCTATTTGATATCAGCATATGAAAATATATTTGAGTATATTATTTTTCAAAGTGTCAGAAATGGATAACAAAACTGCTATTTTCAATGACTACTTATTTGTGTCCAGCTTTAACATCGGTATCGATATCGGTTATCGGCTACATGAGTTTTAAAATATCGGATATCGGCCAAAATCCCAATATGGTGCATCCCTAGCTTAAAGCCTTGCAGGGCAGCCTAAAGCCCACTGCCAACATTAAGACAGAAAAAAGAAAGAATGGTGAGTTCAGGTGTTTTATAAAATATGGGAATCAGAAAATTATCTATAAACCAAACAATTGTTGTTCTTAACTTCAAACAACACTTTAGATTTTAAAACGGAAACATTTTCTATTTTTTTTTATTATATTTTTTTGTTAAAAATTTCAATGTATAACATGGATGCATGTAAACCTAATTTTATTTCAGCGTTCGATTCCTGTGCAGCTTTAAACTGTAACCATGTTCCTCCTTTCAGGTCATGCAGGTTGTTGATTTTCTTTCTCTGCTGATTTTTAATTGTTTTCCTCGGATGTAGAGTTTAGTTTGTAAAGGCAGGAGGCAGATCCTTCAGGCCTGTTGGATCTCGTCTACCTTTAAAACTGATTATTCTTTATGGAAAGCTCTCCTGGTGAAATACCAGTTGACATTTGGTCCATTACCAGCTGCTCAGTCAGGGAGGGGCTCAAAGACTGGGATTTATTTAGATAAACAAATCCTCACTAATAAACTGGGCTTCTCTGTGTTTGTAACCAGAATGATGTAATAAATGTTCAATCAGTCGGTGTGTGCAGAATGAGGTGACGTGTATGAACTGTGTGCAACCTTGTTTTTTATTATGAACTGGAGCAAAAGAAGTGAATGAAATGAAAGTGATGGACTGACGGCTGCAGCTCTGTCAGGCCAACATGGAGGGTTGGTCACACACTGAAAAAAATAATGCAACCATTTTTGACATTTACTTAATCATATTTAGTTATTTAAACACAATTGTTTCATGTTAGCAGGGTAGGATATAAAACAATTGTGTTAAAGTAACAAAACATGATTAACTAAAGGCCAAAAGCAGTTGCACAATTTTTTTAAGTGCATGCTGACTCACGCGCATGCTGGAAGCCTGTCCTCATGCGCTTGTATAGCTTGCTCCTCCACTCCCATGTCCTCAGCTGCTTGTCTTTGTGGCACGCCTCCAGCGACAGGCCGTCCCTCTGAGCCTGAGCCGCCAAGTCTGCCGCGCGGCGCTCCGACTCTTCCACCAGGGCGCTCAGGTGAGCCTCGCGGCTCTCCACGCTCACAACTACAACACACACAAACAATAACAGGCTGCGTTACGTCACACGTAGAATCCTCCAACTAGATCCTTATTTACTTGAATATTGTCAAAATTCAGCCACTAATAAAATGAAAAGTGTCTCAATGGCTTCTGGATAAAACCCGTTCATATATTTTCTAAAAGTTAGCTTTTCTACTGAGGGTAAAATACTAAAGTAAGCCAATAAATTCCTTATTTTCTAAAGGACAGAGCCTGTCCATGGAGCGTTTATAAGCTCAGCATCGTCTTTGTGATAAAGCTGCTTCCTCAGTGCTTGGAAATAAAGCTTCATGTTGAGCTTTCTTTAAAACCCACCTAATGTTGGCTAATCCTCGCCTAATTTGCATAACTAAATGGAAAAGCAAATAACTGAGGAACTATGAGTCCAAATTACATGTTTGATACATCATTTGAAAGTTAACGGCTTCTAGTTTCTAAAAATAATGTCACTTAAACACAAACCAAGCTGCATCAGTTCAAACGTGACTCAAAGTTGTTGTTTTTTCCTTCTCGAAAATGATAGATCTTTTTTTAAAAGCAGTAATAAAGCCTTGCTTGGAAATAGATCTCATCGTATTACATTTATCTACATCATGTCAACCAGCAAGCTGGAGAACAGAAAGCTTCAGGAGGGAATAAAGAAACTGAAGAGGAGGAATAATTATGCTGGACAGAACAGAGAATGGAGTAATAACTGATTGGGAGCAGGTGTGGACAGAAGCAGCTAGAAGGGCTCTAAGGGAAAGGAGAGTCACCAAGGAATACAACATGGCCTCAATAGAACTAGAAAAGAACTTCTCAGGGAAAGCCCTGTGCCTTCTGAAATACGACCAGAATGTTTTCATTTTGAAACAAACAAACCAAACCCCTTCACAGGGGAACAGAAGACCTCCCCTATTCAGCCAGACCAACTATTCCCTCTAAAGACCCCCCTTTCAGAGACATAGACAGGTATGGAGCATTGCAGGCTAACAAAGGAGCCAAACGACCCCCATTCCAAAGGGGGGGACCCGTTCATCCGTTTCTATTTGCACGTTTTCTAAACTAAAACCAGGCTTTGTTGGGCTGCTGGATAAAACCTGGAACTAAACGCTATTTCTGACATTTGGATTGAAAAATCTTCCTGGATGGAAGAGAAACGTCTTTAAAACTTGGAAACAAAGTCCAGTGGATTGATTTTTTTAACCTTTTTTGGTGGAACCAGCTCCCCCGAACATCCTGGGAATCTGGTTTCTATGGTGATTCCCTCTTTTTCAGGGAACTGTTGAGAAACGGAGCCCAAGGCGGCTCTCTGCTCATTACAGCGACATAGATCTACATCTACTCTCTATGTGAAATGATTCCCAGCTCTGTGTGTCTGAAGCGCATCACATGCTAATTGGCGTCTGTCTACGTTGGACCTGATAGGTGAGAGCCTGCCTTTCCAGTTAGGAGTCAATTAGATTTTAAGTGAATGCTCTCTGTATGCTGATTGGAGAGCACATGGAACTACCCACAGTTTACCAGTTTACACTGTTTTTACCGACATCCAATCTTCCCTGGGGGGGGGTTTCGGTTTATTGCTTGCATCATTGCCGCCCTTCACACCTTTATTCATCCATACATGCAGTCTGATTAATGTTTTGGTTTTTCTTTTCATATTGATCTTAAATTCATTTCTTTTTATGGTAGAAGCCCAGACACATGTGACAGATTAACAGACAGTCACACTGTGGCGGCCCCCACCTGACCGATTTACTTGGCACTTGAGGAATGACACAAATAGAGCCGACGGCCCCTGGAGGCAGAATGACGGCTCTGTTTGTTTACAGTGATGGGATTGTACCGCTGTGTGCAGAGCGAGGCCCGGTTCTGGAGCCCTCGCATGAACCCCCCCCATGGCACAATAAATCACTTAGCCGTAATTGCTGCTGCACTACATGCATCGCTGGAAAAGTTCAAGCATTAAACAACGAACGCTGTTAAAGTTGTTCAGCAGGAGGCTGCAGCTCTGTGGAAAGTGGCCCCTGTTTCTGATTCACGTGCACGCTCACGTGCACACCGTAGCAGGAGGTGGGGGCTGAAAACAGGCGGGTAAGAACAACCTGTCTGGACGACGATGGAGACTGAGGGAGGGGGAGAGCAGGGAGGGATGAGGATAAGAGTCTGATCTGAGACCAGCTGAAGGTCCAACTGGAGTCTGATCTGAGACCAGCTGAAGGTCCAAATGGAGTCTGATCTGAGACCAGCTGAAGGTCCAAATGGAGTCTGATCTGAGACCAGCTGAAGGTCCAAATGGAGTCTGATCTGAGACCAGCTGAAGGTCCAACTGGAGTCTGATCTGAGACCAGCTGAAGGTCCAACTAGAGTCTGATCTGAGACCAGCTGAAGGTCCAACTGGAGTCTGATCTGAGACCAGCTGAAGGTCCAACTAGAGTCTGATCTGAGACCAGCTGAAGGTTCAACTAGAGTCTGATCTGAGACCAGCTGAAGGTTCAACTAGAGTCTGATCTGAGACCAGCTGAAGGTTCAACTAGAGTCTGATCTGAGACCAGCTGAAGGTTCAACTAGAGTCTGATCCTAGACCAGCTGAAGGTTCAACTAGAGTCTGATCTGAGACCAGCTGAAGGTTCAACTAGAGTCTGATCTGAGACCAGCTGAAGGTTCAACTAGAGTCTGATCTGAGACCAGCTGAAGGTTCAACTAGAGTCTGATCTGAGACCAGCTGAAGGTTCAACTAGAGTCTGATCCTAGACCAGCTGAAGGTTCAACTAGAGTCTGATCTGAGACCAGCTGAAGGTCCAACTAGAGTCTGATCCTAGACCAGCTGAAGGTCCAACTAGAGTCTGATCTGAGACCAGCTGAAGGTTCAACTAGAGTCTGATCCTAGACCAGCTGAAGGTTCAACTAGAGTCTGATCTGAGACCAGCTGAAGGTTCAACTAGAGTCTGATCCTAGACCAGCTGAAGGTTCAACTAGAGTCTGATCTGAGACCAGCTGAAGGTTCAACTAGAGTCTGATCTGAGACCAGCTGAAGGTCCAACTAGAGTCTGATCTGAGACCAGCTGAAGGTTCAACTAGAGTCTGATCCTAGACCAGCTGAAGGTTCAACTAGAGTCTGATCTGAGACCAGCTGAAGGTTCAACTAGAGTCTGATCCTAGACCAGCTGAAGGTTCAACTAGAGTCTGATCTGAGACCAGCTGAAGGTTCAACTAGAGTCTGATCTGAGACCAGCTGAAGGTTCAACTAGAGTCTGATCTGAGACCAGCTGAAGGTTCAACTAGAGTCTGATCTGAGACCAGCTGAAGGTTCAACTAGAGTCTGATCTGAGACCAGCTGAAGGTCCAACTAGAGTCTGATCTGAGACCAGCTGAAGGTCCAACTGGAGTCTGATCTGAGACCAGCTGAAGGTCCAACTAGAGTCTGATCTGAGACCAGCTGAAGGTTCAACTAGAGTCTGATCCTAGACCAGCTGAAGGTTCAACTAGAGTCTGATCTGAGACCAGCTGAAGGTCCAACTAGAGTCTGATCTGAGACCAGCTGCAGGTCTGATCTGAGGTCCAACTAGAGTCTGATCCTAGACCAGCTGAAGGTCCAACTAGAGTCTGATCTTAGACCAGCTGAAGGTTCAACTAGAGTCTGTTCTGAGACCAGCTGAAGGTTCAACTAGAGTCTGATCTGAGACCAGCTGAAGGTTCAACTAGAGTCTGATCTGAGACCAACTGAAGGTCCGACTAGAGTCTGATCTGAGACCAACTGAAGGTCCAACTAGAGTCTGATCCTAGACCAACTGAAGGTCCGACTAGAGTCTGATCTGAGACCAGCTGAAGGTTCAACTAGAGTCTGATCTGAGACCAGCTGAAGGTTCAACTAGAGTCTGATCTGAGACCAGCTGAAGGTTCAACTAGAGTCTGATCTGAGACCAGCTGAAGGTCCAACTAGAGTCTGATCTGAGACCAGCTGAAGGTTCGACTAGAGTCTGATCTGAGACCAACTGAAGGTCCGACTAGAGTCTGATCTGAGACCAGCTGAAGGTCCAACTAGAGTCTGATCTGAGACCAACTGAAGGTCCGACTAGAGTCTGATTTGAGACCAGCTGAAGGTCCAACTAGAGTCTGATCTGAGACCAGCTGAAGGTCCAACTAGAGTCTGATCTGAGACCAACTGAAGGTCCGACTAGAGTCTGATCTGAGACCAGCTGAAGGTCCAACTGGAGTCTGATCTGAGACCAGCTGAAGGTCCGACTAGTCTGATCTGAGACCAGCTGAAGGTCCAACTAGAGTCTGATCTGAGACCAACTGAAGGTCCGACTAGAGTCTGATCTGAGACCAGCTGAAGGTCCAACTAGAGTCTGATCTGAGACCAACTGAAGGTCCGACTAGAGTCTGATTTGAGACCAGCTGAAGGTCCAACTAGAGTCTGATCTGAGACCAGCTGAAGGTCCAACTAGAGTCTGATCTGAGACCAACTGAAGGTCCGACTAGACTCTGATCTGAGACCAGCTGAAGGTCCAACTAGAGTCTGATCTGAGACCAGCTGCAGGTCTGATCTGAGGTCCAACTAGAGTCTGATCTGAGACCAACTGAAGGTCCGACTAGAGTCTGATCTGAGACCAGCTGAAGGTCCAACTAGAGTCTGATCTGAGACCAACTGAAAGTCCGACTAGAGTCTGATTTGAGACCAGCTGAAGGTCCAACTAGAGTCTGATCTGAGACCAGCTGAAGGTCCAACTAGAGTCTGATCCGAGACCAGCTGAAGGTCCAACTGGAGTCTGATCTGAGACCAGCTGAAGGTCCAACTAGAGTCTGATCTTAGACCAGCTGAAGGTCCAACTAGAGTCTGATCTGAGACCAGCTGAAGGTCCAACTAGAGTCTGATCCGAGACCAGCTGAAGGTCCAACTGGAGTCTGATCTGAGACCAGCTGAAGGTCCAACTAGAGTCTGATCTTAGACCAGCTGAAGGTTCAACTAGAGTCTGATCTGAGACCAGCTGAAGGTCCAACTAGAGTCTGATCTGAGACCAACTGAAGGTCCGACTAGAGTCTGATCTGAGACCAGCTGAAGGTCCAACTAGAGTCTGATCTGAGAGCAACTGAAGGTCCGACTAGAGTCTGATCTGAGACCAGCTGAAGGTCCGACTAGAGTCTGATCTGAGACCAACTGAAGGTCCGACTAGAGTCTGATTTGAGACCAGCTGAAGGTCCGACTAGAGTCTGATTTGAGACCAGCTGAAGGTCCAACTAGAGTCTGATTTGAGACCAGCTGAAGGTCCAACTAGAGTCTGATCCGAGACCAGCTGAAGGTCCAACTGGAGTCTGATCCGAGACCAGCTGAAGGTCCAACTGGAGTCTGATCTGAGACCAGCTGAAGGTCCAACTAGAGTCTGATCTTAGACCAGCTGAAGGTCCAACTAGAGTCTGATCTGAGACCAGCTGAAGGTCCAACTAGAGTCTGATCCGAGACCAGCTGAAGGTCCAACTAGAGTCTGATCCTAGACCAGCTGAAGGCCCAACTGGAGTCTGATCTTAGACCAGCTGAAGGTCCGACTAGAGTCTGATTTGAGACCAGCTGAAGGTCCAACTAGAGTCTGATTTGAGACCAGCTGAAGGTCCAACTAGAGTCTGATCTGAGACCAGCTGAAGGTCCAACTAGAGTCTGATCCGAGACCAGCTGAAGGTCCAACTGGAGTCTGATCTGAGACCAGCTGAAGGTCCAACTAGAGTCTGATCTTAGACCAGCTGAAGGTCCAACTAGAGTCTGATCTGAGACCAGCTGAAGGTCCAACTAGAGTCTGATCCGAGACCAGCTGAAGGTCCAACTAGAGTCTGATCCGAGACCAGCTGAAGGCCCAACTAGAGTCTGATCCTAGACCAGCTGAAGGTCCAACTGGAGTCTGATCTTAGACCAGCTGAAGGTCCAAATAGAGTCTGATCTGAGACCAGCTGAAGGTCCAACTAGAGTCTGATCTGAGACCAGCTGAAGGTCCAACTAGAGTCTGATCCGAGACCAGCTGAAGGTCCAACTAGAGACCAGTTGCAGGTTGGCTACTCACAGTGAGGACTCTCCTTTCCACCGGCCTTCAGCAGCAGCTTAGCGATGGGTGTGTTGTTGGTCATGATGGCGATATCGAGGGGAGTCAGGCCTTGGCTGTTGGGTGTGTTCAGGTCCAGTTCCTCAGCGGTAAACTGGTAGAGGAGAATCTGCACAGTATCCAGATCCTGCTGCTCCACAGCCTCAAAGATGCAGTCGCTGCCCTGCATGGTCTGAAAGGAGAAATATGGTTTCCGTTTAAAGCTGTACAGGAATTTAAGCTGCACAGCATGCACAGCGGCATGCTGTGAACTGATTCTCTGAAGATATGTGAATCGCTCAGTCTGAATCGAAATTAAAGACTTTGTTCTCCGTAAAACTTTAAAACCTTAAAAAAAATCTAAGAAAATCCAACATCAGATTTAGAAAGTCAGGAGGAAACGCACAGCTGGATCATGTTGGAATACCTGCATCAGTCGATTCAACATTAAAATGGCCTTAATGGAAAACATCTGCTGCAGATGTTCCTGACTGCTGCCAAAGGTCTGGGACCGTCATCCTCCTTCAGGATGAAGGTGTTGGACATTAAGAGTCTGAACTGTGAGAGTTTTAAATGTCAGTTTGGAGCATGAAGCGCTGCGTATTGATCAGCCTCCTCATCCGTCTGCATCTTCCTTTCATGTCTACTGTTGTGGCTGGTCTGTAAATGTCAGTAGGCTTGCAGAGAGAACTGGAAGGCTTTCAACACCCCCCCCAACACACACACACACGTTTGCAGACTTGCAGCATGACCCATCTCGCTTGATGAGTGTGACTGACCAAATGTTTTCGCAGGGCAACAGGAATGACGTGATGATGGAGGCTCAGAAAGAAAAGAAAAGCTGCATCACAGATGGACCGTCTATTGGTACCAGAACCAACTGTAGGTCTAAGACATGAGCATCCTGAGGCCACGGCTCAGAGATCCAGTTAGAGCTGTAATAGATTAGGGCTGACGATCCGCAGACATCACTGTTAACAGGATTATTGAAGCAGCAAACAACACAGTTATTGATCCATGGCTCTGAGAGCCGAGCAGACCTGCAGTTTCCTGCAGCATCAGCGCCGCCCCACCAGCTCAGAGGTCAAACTTTCAAATCAGCCGATTTAATGTTCCACTGAACTGGAAGGACTTTACCTAAACGATCATTTATAAAAATCATCAATTATGGAAACATAATTCTTTTCACTTTATTGATTAAATGTGATGCGTGACGTTAATTGGCGCTATTTAAATAAACTGAATTTAATTGAAATAAACAACACATCAAATTAATAAATTGATTATCAGGCATGATTTTATAAAAAGTTTGATGTTTTGTCCAAAAACCTGAAGGAGAAGTTTGATTTAAAGGAATCAGATCAAACTAAGAGGCTGCTTTGAAAAAAATATTTTATTTAACTGTGTAACTTCAGGTGAATAATTAGATTATTAACCCTTTATAGGACACTCAGTGAAATACTTTGAAAATCAAAATTTCAAGCCAATAGTGTTATTGGAATCCTGGACAATACCTTATTACCTTTCTAACATTTAAAAAATATGGATATTTTGATCACAAAAATTAATGTCAATGTAATAAGAAACGCCAACTCTCCCGAATATATTAAGAAAAATAAAAAAAGTGCTCCCATAAGAAATTCGTGAAAAACAAACAAATCTTTTTTTTTGGTACAACATAAACTTAGAGGCATTAATGCTGATACAAATAAATAAAAAATAATCGCTAACGAGGCTTACAAACTTTTAAATTTACTTTTTTAACTTTTATGTTAGCTTTTTACCATTTAATTGACTTGTTAACCGTTTTTCCCCAACTTAATTTACAATAGGAAATCAATAATTCAAGGGCTCCTCTAATTGGTCAAAGGCCAAAATAAGATGTACAGCCATGTAGCAGGATCTTTGCTGAATCGCTGGATATAGATCTTGTGCTTCTATTCTATATCATATCTGCTTTATTTCTCATCATCAGTTATTTAATTTCTAAGAAGATAATAATCTCCGATAATAATCTCAGGTAATAATCTCAGGTAATAATCTCAGCTAGTTTAAAATGCCGTAATCCTGGCTCCTAGGCGGAGAAAATTTAAAGTTCTGCAGTTATCCTGGTACCATGTCTTGTTTCTGTCCCTCAACCACTATAGCTGCCTCCACACTCTGTGGATTCCTGGAACCCTGGATCTGTCTGTTCCTGCATGGATCGGAACCACTGACCGGTGTAGGTACCAGATTGACTCGGGCTGCCAGATTGACTCGGGGGCCTGCGCCTTTTGATGACGTCACAATATGTGCAAACGTTAAAACAATTATGTATTGTGACGTCATCAAAAGGCGCAGGCCCCCGAGTCAATCTGGCAGCCCGAGTCAATCTGGTACCTACACCGGCTTGTGGACTCCTGGATTCCAGAACTGTTCCTGCCTGATCTGTATCCATAACCTGGATTGGATTCCTGCCTGCTCACTGAGGTTGGTGCATTGGGGAGGCTAAATCCTGTCTTCCTTGGAGAGGATGGACTGCACATTTTAACCAGGTAGGTGACTCAGATAATCATCTCCTATCAGACGATCGTGGTCACTCACCTGTGTTCCTCGGCACCCCCCCCCACCCCCACCACGCCGTCTCTGCTGAACTCACCGAGGCTTTTCGCAGACGGTCCGTTTTTCCAAAGAAGTAGGCATCTTCAAAGGAGGAGGTGCTTCCTCGCAGCTTTTCGGATAAGTTCCTGTAGAGGCGCTTGGCAGCGCTGGGTGAGGCTGGCCCACCGGGACACTTTCTGGTCTGAGACAGCTGCAGGTTCTGCATCTGTTGGGTCATAACGGCTGGGAGGTGTCTGTGGATGGGAGCATGATGAAGAGTTAGAGGTCTGCAGGCCTTTAAACCAGCAAACACATCAAAGAAATTTCGTTGACACTCATTATTTCAAGACAATAACGAAAACTGATGAGGCAAACATGGATCTTTGATGGCGAGAGTATGACGACTCAAAAAAACAGGAAAAAGGAGAAGAAAAGATTAAAGAAAGAGGAAATAAAAGGGAGAAAATGTACATTTTCAGTCTGCTTCATCACCTGCAAAGAGATGTAAAAAGAACAGAACAACCACGGACATGGTATATGAGATACAATAAAGTAATACCTAGATACTATCGCTGAAGTATAAGTAGTATTATTTAATCTGACATGTACTCTGTGTTACCTGAGGATCAGAATATGGGCTTTCTGTGTGGAAGTGAATCTCTGAGTACCTGGAACCAAGCACCTGTAGTTGATTATGAGAGTGCACTTGTGCCTGTAAAGTTTTTCCAAAGGGAAAATGCTCAATAGTGGTTGTGAAGAGCCAAAGACGCGCCCCTCCAGAGCACAGAGGCGAGCACCGGGAGACCCAAAGCCCCAGACGCCCATAGGGACCCGAAGAGCAAAGGGGCCCAGGAGGAGCCAACCCAGGAAATCCTTCCCCCCACCGAGGGAGGAGAAGAGACGGCCCCGAGGAAGCCCCCCAGCCACCGCAACGCCGAAGCCCAGAAGAATTGCAGGGACGAGGCCGCGGGCTCCACCAGCAGCCAGCCACCCCAAAGTAGAACCGTCAATGGGCCCCGGGAACCCAAGGCCCCAGGGGCGACGCGTCCCCTGCAGGGGCCCCGACCGAGCCCCGGGGGGCCAGGCCCCGTGAAGCTGCTGCCAAAAATAAGCCAGTACCAGCCCGGGCATCCACCCCCAAAGGTCCATCCCCAGGTCAGATGTTTCAAATGCATCATTGTGCTGTAATCTGCTGAGCAGTATCAGCTGTGCTGCTCCGTCCTGTTTGGTCACTTCATCCATCTGCCGTGCAGTCTGCGCTTTAAGCTCTACTCTGATGGTTCGCTCTCAGCAGTACGGCTCTTCCTGCTCTCGCTACTTAATAAACTAGATGTGGCTGATCATCCTCTGCCAAGCGTAAAGAATCCCTTTGTCTAACTATCAAGATTTTATTTCTTCCAGCTCACAATAGGTGATGCTAAACATTCTTTAATTTCTACCAAAAAGAATCTCTAAATTATATCCAAAGAAAATATTTCATTGCATTTTGTTTATTTTTGGATAAAGCTCCAGATGAAAAGGTTAATAAATCTTTGAATATTTCTCTCTCATTGTTCTCGTTTCTATTTTTTTAAATATGATGTAAATGTTTCCTTGTATTGTCATTTAAACATTTTCTCTGTTTCCTTGAAATATTTTAACATTTTAGTAGCATATTCATTCAGTTTAGGTCTGGGTTGCCATGACAATACAAGGCAGTTATGGAGGTTCTCAGTATTTTTTTAATATCAAACCCTGTGAATTTAAATCTTCTTTGACCCCTGAGCAGCAGGAACCGAGGGGGAAATTCGCAGAAATAAATCTAAAATTACCAAAGTAGAAAGAAGAATGTTTTTTTTCTTTGCTTTTTCGGAGTAATGCAGATTTTATTGATCTGTGTTTAATGCATAATTCATAGTAGATCAGGAAGTGTCTAAAATCCTTCCTTTATTGGACATTTTGTTAGCTTGTCTGTCTGCTATATTAACCAATAGGATCTGTTGAACTAGATCTGCTATTTTCACAGCTTTTGTGAGAAACTTTTTTATAAAGTAGGGCATTAATTCATAAAAGTTCATTTGAATTCTTTAAATCAAAGTTTTCTGTCCAACAGCAATGATAAGCTAGACATCAGCATTCTATACCCAGCCAATGTAGCAACTAGGATAGAGCTGTCAGTCTGGGAAAGAATCTGGTTCTTATTCCAAATTATAAAGGTTCACTTTTTTTGCAACTTAAAACTGACTAAAACCTTTTTAAGTTTTAGTCGACTAAAACTATCCCATATCGTAATGACTAAAATATGATGAAGACTAATAATTGTTTTCGTCCTGAAGACTAAAACTAAATCTAAGATGGCGCTAAAAACAACCCTGACCATGAGAACATAAAAAAAAAAAATAGTTCAGCTGGGAAAGGATCCCTGGAGTCAGAAGGAATCACCTTTCCTTACTGGAGTATAAAGATCACAGCAGCATCGGTCAGATTATAGCAGAATAGAAGAAGATTAAAGGAAAAATCTGCTCATCAAAGAATAATCAATGGATCATTAATTATACCTAAAACTAATACATTCACAGTGATTTAATGAATTTAGCATTAATTACTAACCAAATAAAAACAATCATTTTCGTCACGATCACTGAGTCTGGGAGCGGCCATCTTTGCCCAAATATAGTAGCCCCTCCCTCCTGCCATCTTCCAGCAGTGACGTCACGGTGCGGTAAGCCTAGCGCCATTCTCCCCGCTTTACAAGCTAAATCAATGGGAACTACTAGACACATCTGCAATCAACAACAATTATTGAAGATTTCCAGAGGACTTCACCATTGAAATTCACCAGAGCTATAGTGAAACTGACAATGCCCACGTGAGCAGACTTTTCCTTTAAAAACCCTCCAAGCATTGCTGTGACGTGTTTGACTATCATCATCTAGAGTACAGCAAGAGCTCACTAGCTGATCTTCTACATGAAGCATCCATGTTATCAGAGAACTTCCTGCTGAGCTCAGCTGCAGCCCTGACAGGACTCTGATGTTTGGACTCTTGCTGCTTCACTGTGAGAAACATCAGCATCATGACGAGTCAGACCAACAGCTCCCATAGTTACAGCTGGAGTTTGCAGCTCTTTCACCTCCATGAAGGTCAGATGTTCGGTTGCTTCTCCCTGTGAATGTGCTGACCTTTGAAGGTCTGACAGGAAGACCTGCCCTCTCCTGAGAAGCTGCAGCTTCTGCTCTCAGTCACCGGCAGCTTTGGGGCTCTACACTGGTGGAGTCCAACATCTCAGTCAGCATCACTGACCTTTTAACTGACACTGCTGGCATTTCTATGGACAAAATGAAACCTTCTGAGGAGGCTAAGAAGAGAAAATGTGAAAGGGATCGTACGCGAGGAAAAACAAGAGTCCATCTTGGAAAGGAGTTTGTTCGTTGGCGCAGGCTGAAAGAAGAAGCCGGATGTAAAACTTTATTATTAGACTGCTTAGTTAACACTTTGCTCCTAGTATGCAGTGAGAGATCTTTGTTATTATTTTCTATATTAAGTAGAAGCAAAATACGGGCAGTTACAGGTCTATCGCCCCTAGTGGCCAAAACTTAAATGGTGTGCTTTTAAAGGAAAAGTCGCTCATATTCAGAATTCAAACTTCTGAAAGTTCTTTAAATCTGAAATGATTCCATCCTGTTCAATAAATGATCAGTGTTTTTAATTCAGAGTAATTTTCATGTGAATGTGCTTTACTGGAGGCATCCATGTTTGTCAAAGAACACTACTGCCACCTACTGGTTAGTGACATTGTCACGGTGCGGTATCGGCTGTTGATCAAGTCCCAGTGCTGTATCTGGTGTTTGTCACAACGCGCTATTATCCAAGTCATCTTGAAAACATTCTTCTTCCAAATGTTGGCTACATATTACGGGTTTTTTCTCTGGCCAGAAGTTCGATGGCAAATCCTCCCTCTTCAAGTTGGCGATCCAACGACCAACCCGTCCGTGGAGGATCAGGAATCAGAAAGGTGGAATAACTCTTTGTTTCACTTTTACCCGATGTATTCCAGCATCCAGCTGCCATGCACGTGGGCATTGTCAGTTTCACTATAGCTCTGGTGAATTTCAATGGTGAAGTCCTCTGGAAATCTTCAATAATTGTTGTTGATTGCAGATGTGTCTAGTAGTTCCCATTGATTTAGCTTGGAAAGCGGGGAGAATGGCGCTAGGCTTACCGCACCGTGACGTCACTGCTGGAAGATGGCAGGAGGGAGGGGTTACTATATTTGGGCAAAAATGGCCGCTCCCAGACTCAGTGATCGCAACGAAAAATATTGTTTTTATTGTTTTACTGATTAACACTAAATTAATTAGATAACCGCAAACGTATTAGTTTTAGAAAAAACATAATGATCCGTTGATTATTCGTTGCTGACCGGACTTTTCCTTTAAAGTTGTAGGGAAACAGCCGTTCCAAGCGTTTCATTTCTGAATTCTAAATGAAGAGGGTGGATTGTTGTGGCAGAAGGTTCACAAGCAAGTTTGGTTGTGGCCGGTTTCTCTGAAGCATCTTGCTAACCAGTTAGCAACTTAGTGGTAGCAGGTTCCCAATGGGAAATTCCATTGGGACCAAGTAGCACTAAATTGGTGACTTAGAAACGACGCTGTCAAGGAACGCTATGGACAGCGGAAACATGCAAGAGGAGGAGAGTTTAGTGTCGGAGGTCGTGGATGAGTCTCCTCCGTCATCCATTTTTTATTTAGAGGAGGAAAGCGGGGACGAAGATGTTGTGGAAGAGGACGCCAGGGCGGCAGAAGCTTGGTTTGGTGTAGAAGGCTTCCAGCCGTACATGTTTGAGCCCTTGCCTCGCAACGCTGCCAGTTCTGTTAGCTCTACGCCTGCCGAAGACACAGACGTCGATCCCCGTGAACACTGGGACGCAACTCAATGGGAAAGGAAAGGATTCTGATTTCAACCGTTGCGTATATTAGCTGCGACATATGAATCAAGATGCTATGACCGAAAACATTTGATTGACGGATGACCATTGATATATGATTGGCCGAATTTAGGTGTTCAGGCTGACGTAGAACTAAGTGGCCTGCAGAAGATAACGGAAAAACACAGATTTTAGGAGAGGATTTTTATTTTATAGAAATGTTCTAAATTTTGGGACAATATGTTCTGATAAGGAGAACATTTATATAAATGTTTAAGCCTGAATGATTTGACATTTAAATATGATTTCCCTACGACTTTAAGAAATTAGTTTTTGAGCTGCTATTAA